TCGGAAGTAAAAGACAGATGAGAACAAAGAAGTGAACAGAATAGCCAGAAACTTATATGCAAGGATGAGCAAAGAGGTTGAGTGTCAATTTGAGAATGACACAGAAGCCAGGGTAAAATCTGAACCAAAACTGCTTCAGTGCTGTTGCACTGAAGAAAGGTAACAGTAAAAGACAGGTAATTTAACCCTTTGACTGTTTCAGGCCCCTCTCTGAAACTGTCATTCTATGTCGCTCAATTTTTGAAAAAAAAAAAAATTATTTTTTCTTATGAAATGATAGAGAATCTTTTCCCGATGGTAATGATACCAAAAGTTCGAAATTTGGTCGAAAACTCGTGGAATTATGCTCCCGCGAAGTTAGCGGTCTCGGCGACATATGCGTATCGGCGATTTCGCCGACTTTGAGCCCAATTTTCAGCCAATTCCATTGTTCCAGTTGACCAAACTCATAGCTATTTCTTTAGAACTCCATTTTATCTATCAGCTGAGTACAAGAAACCTCCCATTTACTAATTTGGACTACCCAATATGGTGGTCAGAAATTGGCAATTTGGCCAATTTCACGCAAAATAAAAAAGATGCCAATTTCAAAATAGGGTCCAGAATAAACAAGGTAGACATTCGTGGCACTAAAATATCATATGCTCTGTTCATTAGTCACATCTCTAGGCCCCTCTTATATTATTATTGCTTTCTATTTTGATTTTTTATTCATACAAAAAAATACAAAATTTACTGTTATGCAGACGACTGCATTATTGTAAAAATGGTATAAATAATATCAGTGCACTAGTGAAAGAATATTAGACTCCCCAGTTGACGTGTATTGGACGTGTGGTGTGATTTATGTACTCTTGAACATTGGTAAAAATCGAACATTTCCGCTACTTTGAGCTCAGTTTCAAGGTCGTTTTCATCGTAAAAGTAATGAAAATCATCTCTATTTCTGTAATATGTTTTCCATTTTATCACCTAAGACCATGAAAACGCGAATACAACGATAAATACTATACGAAAATACACCTCAAAGTCGGCGTTTTATTCCAAAAAAACGATCAGAGTTTTTTTTTTCTCATTACGCAATGTGTGCTGCAGGATTTTTTTTATGTGGTGCACACTGACCACACAGACCCATTCTCTCACATGTGGGCCTACCAGCTTTCTCCCACTTGATTTGAAGCCTCTAGAATTATTGAGTATATATACGTCAGAAACATTGGCTCGTAAGACGTATTTATACGTCGAAAACAGTCAAAGGGTTAAACGAGAATAAAAAAGAGCTAGCAAAAAATGACAAAAAAGTTTGGTAAGTGTTAAAAACACGATTTAGAGAGATCTCAGTGAAAAGGGGTAATGACAGAAAGCCTAAGGGAAAGAATACACCAACAGGACACCAATCGCACAACAGGGAAAATAACAAAAAAATTGATAAAGCTTGATACATTAAAGGCAATGGGACCCAATAAGATATCACCATGGATTCTACAAGAAGGAGCAATTAAGATTTACCACAAGTCAATGGACATGGGATAGTTGCCAGAGATTTGGAGTATTTCATATACTTAAGAAAGCAAGGGAGACCTGTTATCACATTGTACATATTTGTTTGTTAAAGATTTAATAACAATGGCAGAATATATAAGTAGGGCTTTGTATAAGTGATTGTCAGAAATTATTTTTATATACATGTGCAGTCATTTAATCATTATAATGAGTAGTGATGGTGTGAATATGTACAGGCAGTCTGTAATGTATGTATCTAGTTTGCAGATGCTGTTTGTCTCTCATATACCACGAGTGACCAAGGCACTGCAGTTTCTGAGTACAGTATAATGTTTCTTGCTGGGAAATAGGACTTCACCTCCATGTGGATACTTTAGCAACACTCCCACCCTCCTGTCTTCTGTACAGTTATCAAAACATTCCTGTACAGTAAAACCTGGGGGGACAAACTTTGCTGGTTACAGAATTGTCTTGTTATTACTGTTACAGTATCATGGTAAAACAATCTTGTCTCTATCCATTAAATAGAGGGTTTACAGCTCCACTCTACTCTTCAACCTCTACCTCATGTTTTATCTATCCATCCAAATATCTTCTGACCTCAAAAGTAGCTTAAATGGTCTTATATTCAAAATTGTTGATCATTATTATTTTTTTTTTTATTTTTTTTTTTTTTATTATCACACCGGCCGATTCCCACCAAGGCAGGGTGGCCCGAAAAAGAAAAACTTTCACCATCATTCACTCCATCACTGTCTTGCCAGAAGGGTGCTTTACACTACAGTTTTTAAACTGCAACATTAACACCCCTCCTTCAGAGTGCAGGCACTGTACTTCCCATCTCCAGGACTCAAGTCCGGCCTGCCGGTTTCCCTGAATCCTTTCATAAATGTTACTTTGCTCACACTCCAACAGCACGTCAAGTATTAAAAACCATTTGTCTCCATTCACTCCTATCAAACACGCTCACGCATGCCTGCTGGAAGTCCAAGCCCCTCGCACACAAAACCTCCTTTACCCCCTCCCTCCAACCCTTCCTAGGCCGACCCCTACCCCGCCTTCCTTCCACTACAGACTGATACACTCTTGAAGTCATTCTGTTTCGCTCCATTCTCTCTACATGTCCGAACCACCTCAACAACCCTTCCTCAGCCCTCTGGACAACAGTTTTGGTAATCCCGCACCTCCTCCTAACTTCCAAACTACGAATTCTCTGCATTATATTCACACCACACATTGCCCTCAGACATGACATCTCCACTGCCTCCAGCCTTCTCCTCGCTGCAACATTCATCACCCACGCTTCACACCCATATAAGAGCGTTGGTAAAACTATACTCTCATACATTCCCCTCTTTGCCTCCAAGGACAAAGTTCTTTGTCTCCACAGACTCCTAAGTGCACCACTCACTCTTTTTCCCTCATCAATTCTATGATTCACCTCATCTTTCATAGACCCATCCGCTGACACGTCCACTCCCAAATATCTGAATACGTTCACCTCCTCCATACTCTCTCCCTCCAATCTGATATTCAATCTTTCATCACCTAATCTTTTTGTTATCCTCATAACCTTACTCTTTCCTGTATTCACCTTTAATTTTCTTCTTTTGCACACCCTACCAAATTCATCCACCAATCTCTGCAACTTCTCTTCAGAATCTCCCAAGAGCACAGTGTCATCGGCAAAGAGCAGCTGTGACAACTCCCACTTTGTGTGTGATTCTTTATCTTTTAACTCCACGCCTCTTGCCAAGACCCTCGCATTTACTTCTCTTACAACCCCATCTATAAATATATTAAACAACCACGGTGACATCACACATCCTTGTCTAAGGCCTACTTTTACTGGGAAAAAATTTCCCTCTTTCCTACATACTCTAACTTGAGCCTCACTATCCTCGTAAAAACTCTTCACTGCTTTCAGTAACCTACCTCCTACACCATACACTTGCAACATCTGCCACATTGCCCCCCTATCCACCCTGTCATACGCCTTTTCCAAATCCATAAATGCCACAAAGACCTCTTTAGCCTTATCTAAATACTGTTCACTTATATGTTTCACTGTAAACACCTGGTCCACACACCCCCTACCTTTCCTAAAGCCTCCTTGTTCATCTGCTATCCTATTCTCCGTCTTACTCTTAATTCTTTCAATTATAACTCTACCATACACTTTACCAGGTGCACTCAACAGACTTATCCCCCTATAATTTTTGCACTCTCTTTTATCCCCTTTGCCTTTATACAAAGGAACTATGCATGCTCTCTGCCAATCCCTAGGTACCTTACCCTCTTCCATACATTTATTAAATAATTGCACCAACCACTCCAAAACTATATCCCCACCTGCTTTTAACATTTCTATCTTTATCCCATCAATCCCGGCTGCCTTACCCCCTTTCATTTTACCTACTGCCTCACGAACTTCCCCCACACTCACAACTGGCTCTTCCTCACTCCTACAAGATGTTATTCCTCCTTGCCCTATACACGAAATCACAGCTTCCCTATCTTCATCAACATTTAACAATTCCTCAAAATATTCCTTCCATCTTCCCAATACCTCTACCTCTCCATTTAATAACTCTCCTCTCCTCTCATTATTATTATTTTCAAATATTTAAGAATTTCAGTTAAAAGTACAGTACTATTGTTAGCAAATTTGACATTTGTAACATTGATACAGTACATCAATAATTAACTAACAAACATTTATTAAATATAAATTAAATATTTGCCATTAATATACTGGCAGTTTTTTGGGACTGGTTTAGCTTCATGTTTCAAATGAGCCAGTGATGTGTACATCAAAAGCTTAATCTTTTTATTTATTTCAGTGTGAGTAAATTCCATGCATTTATTAACAATTGTAATTGTATTACTAATAGGCCTAATGTAGTTCCTGTGTGCAATTATCTGTTTGTAATTACAGTACTTCCCTGCTTAGCACAGATCAAGGCTTTTTGAATATACTTTGGGGGCAAATTTTCATATAATTTATTACACTAGAATGCATGTAGCCACATCCATCATATTAAAGGTAAGTTTTAATATGTTTAGATTAAAAAATATTTTAATTTATCTTTTACTGTGATGCAAGGTTTGCCATTTTAAAATCAGGTTTAATGAGGTTAAGGCATCAAAAAGTTTATGAATCACTCTGCCTTAGATGATTTGTGGGTAGCCCTCATGTTGAATATTTTCCAGATATTTTGGCAGTTCTTGAGTGAATTTGATTAATACATGAAGATTGCTTCAGCAAGCAAGTCTTTTGGAAAATAATATTCAAATGAGATAGATAAGAGTATGTTTGATATTTCCCATGGACATAGGCTTTCCTTATTTGAAGAGTAATAATCATTATAATACTGCTATAATTTATAAAAATAACACATATACATGTATGTATTTGACAGGGGTGCAAAATTAGCAGACTGTCAATGTGCTGTAATGCAATAGCTGAAAGAAATTTCACTGTAAATAGGATATTCTTTTTACAGTAGTGCTTCCATGGATAAAGACTGAAGAAGGTACCTCTCTTTTTGAACAGTTTATATATTTTAAGACATCAAATTATCCATAAATTTAATAAAACTATTTATTCTTTGTTATGCAATAACTTTTTATTATAATATTTTGCATCCAGTATATATTTGTTTTTATTATCTGATCAAATAAACATTTTTAAGCATAAATGCTGCTACATATACTGGTTACAAATTAATGAATGTTATCAAAATATAAATACCATCAGTTAATTCATATTTTCTCTGTAAAATAGAATGTGTACTGTCTCCTACTATATTAATTGCCACACTAAAGTATCCATACATTCTTGTAGTTGATCAAAGGTTGGCAAAAAATGTACTTAAATACTTGTGTGTTTTCCAGTGTTATGAACTTATTATAAACCAGGTGTTGCACTCCTTATGCTGTAGGCATGTTTTAAAGTTTAAATGCAAGTTAAGTAAATATTGGAAGATAAAGTTTATGTTGGGTTTAGATCAGGGTGAGTGTATGGCATCTTTGAATGCTATGGTGCCCTCCATCACACCTGTAATCAACACTGTTAAAGTAGACATAAATAATTCTTAAGGTAGAGTGCTGGTTTTTAATTACTATTTTAAATATATAGTACAAGCAACCCTGAGTTCACAAGTATCCAACTTGAGTCTTCCCCAAACAAATTTGTGTATGCACTTGGTTCCCATGAATGGGACTTTTATTTTAAATATTGTACCTATAGGGAAATAATGATTTGACTTTGGAACTAATGGCTTTTGTAGAACTAATTAGGTAGTAAGTGCAAGGGTTGCCTGTAGATATTATTTTTTTTATCTACATTAAAATTTCTTATTGTCAGTTCTTTACTACATATATCTAGAGTTCAGGACCTCATATTTTAAAAAATTAATAGCAATACATTACTGTATACCTATAATATGCAGACCAAAGTTAAATATGTCCAGATAGTAAAAATTCTGCTGTACAAGATTTTATACAGAGTAGAACTGTGTGGCAGCAGATGACTGAAGTTCAATTTGTCCCATTTTAAACTGGAGTCTGTGAAGCCAGCGAAGCAAATTTGGTAGGGATGTGGTGCTTGGACTTGGGGTCTCAGGGTCTGTCGGTGGAGCAGCATTCTGACATGCCTGAAGTCTAACAGCTAACTGTCCTGGTAACTGCAAAGGTGAACAGAACATTAGGTAGCCTTGTAGAATTTAATACAAATCTGTGCAATCAGTTCATTTTGTAGCATCAGTTATGATGTACAGTACAGTATAAAAGATGCTAAACACTAAATACAGCACCGCAGTATTAACTCTTAAGCTAGTAGAAGGTCAAAATTAACATGCTTCCTAGTGCCGGCAATTTAGGGAAAAAAATGATCTGCCGAAAAATTCTCCTTGATTTAAGAAGTGTAATAAGACAAGAATGAGTGAAATGTGATTATATTACTTAGGGATATTAAGGTTTGAAGGTGATGTCTGTGCCTGTTTTATGACAAAACGAGTGCTTACAACATGGAGGAAGTAGCTGTGTTTGAACATATATTTATGATTCCCATTTTTTCTAATTTTTTTGGATCATATGTTTTATACCTATATTTTCATATATTTCACTTAAATTTATTGTTCATTCACAATGAATGTAAATACTAAGCACATGTAAATAAATGTAAATGACATTTTTCTCCCACAATGCCTTACACACTTATATATATATATATATTTTCTTTCAACACACCGGCCATATCCCACCAAGGTGGGGTGGCCCAAAAGGAAAAACGAAAGTTTCTCCTTTTACATTTAGTAATATATACAGGAGATGGGGTTACTAGCCCCTTGCTCCCGGCATTTTAGTCGCCTCTTACAACACACATGGCTTACGGAGGAAGAATTCTGTTCCACTTCCCCATGGAGGTAAGAGGAAATAAACAAGAACTAGTAAGAAAATAGAAGAAAACCCAGAGGAGTGTGTATATATATGCTTGTACATGTATGTGTAGTGTGACCTAAGTGTAAGTAGAAGTAGCAAGACATACCTAAAGTTTACACATAAATTTGTCTTCAGTTTAAGAGTAAAAGAAATTGGTCAACTGACAAAAAATCAATAGTAGTAATAGTACAGAAATCTAGAATGGCAGGTATTGCAGAAAAGTATGGTAGATGCTTGGCATTAAGCAAACTATTGTGGATTATATTTTGCTCTGGTTACCCTCCTCTTCAAGGGGGGCTCCTTGGCGTGGTGAAGAGGCTCTTGGTCTGAGGAATTAGACCTGTCGGTCTCCTTCCTCAGACCGAACCTAATTACCCCCCTATCCCATCCTCCCCTTTTTCCTTTCCTCCTCCTCACCCCCTCCCTTTTTGGCCTTTAGGATTTTTCCCACAGGCACACTAGTTCATAGGTAGGGGGAAGGGTACCGGGGTCCATCCCATACCATTGAGGTTCTTGGCGGTGGCGTAGTTTGCCGTGGGATCTGGATCGCCTGGGGAGGTCCCGATCCCTCTCCGGTATCCCGGAGGGTGGCTTTGGGTGTCTTTCGGGCGACGGGTGTATCTCTGGAAGCCACCTTTCGGATTCCGGGGGTGGTGGCAGAAGGAGGTATGCTTTGTGGCGGATATCCGGCCGCCCTCTCTTTTGTCCACCGAGGTAGCTCGGCAGATGTGAGGTTGCTATCCCGGATTGCTGGTTTACTGGCATGAAGGGTAGGGTATGGCACGGGTTCCATGCTGCATCTGCGCTACTTGCGGTGCTGAGGTCCTCTTGGGCGTGGAGGGAGATTTCTGGCCCTTTCATTCCTCCTAGGAACTATCCCTCCCCAGTCCCCCCTTTTTTTTATTCTTTCTTTTCTTAAAAACAAAAAGAAAGAAGTAACCTAACCATGGAGTCCCAAATCCATGGCCCCACTACCCCCGGGCCCCTTATTGTTACCGCACCCTGTTCTGACCTCGCCTCATCTTTTGGCCACTCTTTGGACACTCCTAAGGCCCCTGTACCTCTTGCTGGTGCTGTTTCCTTACCCGCTTCAGGTACCGGGGCTTCCACTGACTCCTTCGATTTGTCTGACCTCCGCTCTCCTTTGACTATGCTTCTGGCCTCTCCCTCTATGGTGCGACGATTTTCGAATCGCCAGTCCGTCTCACGTCGGACCAACTCTGGTCTCACTTCTAAATGCCAACGACAATCTCTTGACGATGTTACTTCATTACCTTCCCATTCTACTCAGAAAAGACCGACACGTCATGCACTCCCTCTCCACGCTCAGTTTCAGACCACACAATGGACTAAATTCTTTACTTTATGACCGACTTCTTCTACTGCCTATCTTTCTGACCATAGTATTGGCAAAGTGCTCCTACGCCACGTTGGTAGAGATATTTCCTTTCATGCTCTTAAGAGTGGTACACGCATCATCACAGTCCACAATTCTACCCAAGCTCATGATGTTTCTCTTCTTTCACATATCGATACTATTCCTATCACTAGTGAAAAACATCATTCCCTCAATTCTTGTAGTGGTACTGTTATTCTGCCCCATACCATAGTCCAACAGAATTTCCGGACGTGTAGCAATGACATTCTCGAACAGCTGGAACTCCAAGATCTCCCAATTCTCAAGGTAGACACTTATGTTCTTCCCGCCCACGGGCGAAGACGATACCCTTGCAATGTGGCTTGTTTAACTTTTGACAGCCGTGAACTTCCATCCTCTGTTTATGCAGCAGGACATCGGTTACAAGTTCGGAAGGTGATCCCTACACCACAACAGTGTAGGAATTGCTGGCGATTTGGCCACCCAGCAAAATATTGCAGATCTATAGCCGAATGCCCAGCCTGTGGTGCTGATGACCATTCTAATACACATCTTGCAGTCAACCTCCCTCTTGCCTTAATTGTCATGAGGCTCACCCTTCGTACTCTCGCCGTTGCCAGGTCTACTTAAATGAGCGAGAAATTCGTTGCCTCAAAAAGGCAGAAGGTCTCCCTTCTGCTATGGCAGTTTCTCATCTCCGCCTCCAAGGGAGACTACCTCGTGTTTCAAAACGTCCCCCCACTTCTGGGGTCCCATCTTCTGCAGCCTCCTCTGCGGTTGTCAGTCCCATAGTCACTCCTGTATCTAATTCTTTTGCTGTCCTGGGCTCAGACGTCCCTACTTCAACACCTCAGTCTGTCCTCGCTTCTTCGTGTTCTCCCTCACAAACCCCGGTATCGACAAGACCTCATACGACACCTCCTCCCAATCGTCCCTCTTCTTCTCAGAGGTCCAACAAATCTCCTTTAACCCCTCCTTCCCTTCATCCACCTCCACATTTTACCTTCCCGGTCTCTGTACCTAGGTCTTCCCCTTTCACTGGTTCCGTTACAAGTGTGGAGGTTCATCCTCCTCCTCGTACTGTGCCTTCCTCCCCTGTCCCCTCCCAAGTTTCTTCCTCTTCTGTCCCCTCCCACACTTCTCCAGTTCCCTCCACCCTTTTGCACTCCCCTACCTTGATACAGTCCAATACAGCTCCGATCTTTACTCAAACTCCTCCTCCTTCCATCTCCAATATTGTCTCCCATATGACATCTCTGAATATATTGCAGAGACCAAACCATCAATGGACACTGATCCACCCTCTGTTCCTTCTCTTTCCTTTTCTCCATCTGCGCAACTCCTTTCTTCACAACGCACCATTCCTTCACTACTTGAACGTTTTCCTTTGCCACCGCATGTGGACTTTTCTAACCATTCTAGTCCGTAGGTACCCTTACCTGCGGATTTCAGGTATCTTTATCGTTGCCAATCATGGCCTATTTACAGTGGAATATTCGCGGCCTCAGGGGTAATCGGGGTGAGCTTCAGATGTTGCTCTCCCATTTTTCCCTGTTGGTGTTTGCTTACAGGAACAAAAATTACACTCTGCCATTATCTATCCCATCTCAGGCTATAATTTATTGTATTCTTCAGATCCTTTTCCTGATGGGACCTTTAATGAAAGTGCCCTTCTTCTACGCACTGATATTCCGTACCATCAGCTATATGTTCGTACTTCGCTGCATTACACAGCAGCCCGTATCCACTTGCATAGGTAGTGTACACTCTGTTCTTTGTATCTCTCTCCTTCTCGGGCATTATCTATCCCGGATATTGCCTTTCTTGTTTCGTCATTACCGCCACCACTTCTGTTGCTTGGCGATTTTAATGCCCATCATTTCCTCTGGGGGGGCTCACTGTGATTCCCGTGGCATTCAGTTAGAGGCTTTTCTTGCTACCCACCCCTCCATGTTTTAAATACAGGTACTCGCACCCATTTTAATCCTCGGACTCATACTCTCTCTTGCATCGATCTCTCAGTCTGCTCTTCCTCCGTCGCATTAGACTTCACCTGGTCTGTTCTCCCGAATTTACATGACAGCGATCATTTCCCAATCATTCTTACTTCCCCTTCATATTCACCACCTCTTCGTAACTCACGCTGGCAATTTGATCAGGCAAATTGGAACCTTTAGTCACAACTAACTGTTTTTAGTGAGGTTCCTTCTTCGTCCTCCATTGATGAGCTTTTACACCTCTTCTCGTCGCCTGTTTTAACCGCAGCTTCTCATTCTATACCCCAAACTTTGGACAGGCATTCTCAGAAATGCGTGCCTTGGTGGTCTCCTGCTTGTGCTCGTGCAGTACGTTTGAAACACGCTGCGTGGGGCAGGTACTGGTACAATAGAACCACGGAGAGACTTCTTGATTTTAAGCAGAAGCGTGCGATCGCTCGCCATGTCATCCGTGACGCTAAATGCACTTGCTGGCGAGGTTATGTCTCCATCATCACCTCTGCTTCCTCTATGAGTGCAGTCTGGAAAAAAGTACGAAAACTGAGTGGTAAATATTCTCCTGACCCGGCTCCTGTTCTGCGGGTTGCCGGTGTTGATATAGCAAACCCACTAGATGTTGCCAATGAAATTGGCAATCATCTGGTCCGTATTTCTCAGGGGCTCCATCTATGCCCCTCATTTCTTTCCTCAAAGTCTGCCAGAGAGTTAGCACCCTTGGACTTTCCTTCTCTCAGAGAAGAACAGTATAATGTGCCTTTTACCCTTCAGGAACTGGAGGCAACACTCTCAGCTTGCCGATCATCGGCAGCTGGGCCCGACATTCATATTCGTATGCTACAACATTTACATCAGTCAGCCTTTGCAGTCCTATTACGCCTTTTCAATCTTATTTGGTCACAAGGAGTTCTTCCACAGCTGTGGAAATCTACCATTGTTCTCCCTTTCCACAAACCGGGTACTACGGGACATGAAGCCTCCCACTATCGTCCCATTGCTCTTACCAGTGCAGTTTGCAAAGTGATGGAATGCCTGGTAAACAGACGTTTAGTGCGGTATTTGGAGACACACAACAGTCTCTCCACTCGTCAATATGGCTTTTGTAAGGGTCGTTCTACCATAGACCCCTTACTATGCTTGGATATGTATGTTCGTAATGCCTTTGCGAATAACCACTCAGTTATTGCCATATTTTTTGACCTTGAGAAGGCATATGACACAACTTGGAGGTATAATATTTTGGCCCAAGCCCACTCCTTAAGCCTTCGAGGCAATCTACCATCCTTCCTTAAGAACTTTTTAACTGACAGACATTTTCGTGTTCGGGTTAATAATGTGCTCTCCCCAGACTTTATCCAAGCTAAAGGTGTCCCCCAGGGATGTGTTCTGAGCACAACACTTTTTCTCCTTGCTATAAATGATTTGGCCTCTAGTCTCCCATCCAATATTTGGTCATCACTCTATGTTGATGACTTCACTATTGCCTGTGCAGGCGCTGACTGTCACCTCATTACAGTTTCTCTCCAGCATGCGGTTGACCGTGTTTCCAATTGGGCCACCACACATGGGTTTAAATTTTCCAGTACCAAAACTCACCAAATTACTTTCACTAGACATTCTGTCATCTCCAATCATCCTTTATATCTCTATGGCACCCGTATCCCTGAATGTGATACAGTCAGGTTTCTAGGCCTCCTCTTTGACCGTAGGTTGTCCTGGAAACCTCACATTACCTCTCTGAAGACAACTTGTCACAGCCAGCTGAATCTTCTTAAAACCCTTGCTCATCTTTCATGGGGAGCTGATCGTCGAACTCTCCTTCGCCTACATTCCACCCTCATTTTATCGAAACTTGATTATGGTGACCAGATCTATTCAGCTGCCTCTCCTGCTACTCTATCTAGCCTCAACCCTATTCATCACCAAGGATTACATTTATGCCTTGGTGCTTTTTGCTCTTCCCCTGTTGAGAGCCTCTATGCAGAAGTGAGCATTCCATCCTTATCCAATCGCCATGATGCCCATTGCCTTCGCTACTATGTACGCTCTCATGATCTCCGCAATCCTTCCACTTATAGAATGGTCACCGATATTAGTAGACATTCTTTATTTGTTCGCCGCCCCTGTTTGTTCCGTCCCTTCTCTCTTCACCTACATTCGCTCTTGTCTTCTCTTCAATTTCCACCTTTCTATGTTCATGTAGCATCTCACTTTTCCCTACCCCGCTGGGAAGTTCCAGCTGTTCGAGTCTGTTCTTTCTCACTCCCTTGCTCGAAAGCCCAACTGTCTATGGTAGCTTCCCGCTCTCTTTTTCTTAACCACTTCCACTCTCATTCTCATGCCATTGCAGTGTACACAGATGGCTCTAAGTCTTCTTACGGCATAGGATTCGCAGCAGTGTTTCCGAACAGCGTCGTACGAGGGCATTTACTATCTTCGGCTAGTATCTTTACTGCTGAATTGTATGCCATTCTTGCAGCATTTATCTGTATTGCATCTATGCCTGTATCGTCATTTGTGGTCGTCTCAGACTCCCTTAGTGCTTTACAGGCTATACAGAAATTTGATACACCTCACCCCTTAGTCTTCCGCATCCAACTTTGGCTACGCCGCATCTCTACCAAGCATAAAGATATTGTTTTTTGTTGGGTCCCTGGTCATGTTGACGTACAGGGCAATGAACAGGCAGACACTGCTTCGCGGTCAGCAGTACATAACCTACCAGTTTCATATAGAGGTGCTCCATTTACGGACTATTTTGCTGCAATAGCTACCCACCTTCACACCCGTTGGCAGCAACGTTGGTCTACTCTACTCGGTAACAAACTTCAATCTATTAAACCGAGTATAGGTTACTGGCTGTCTTCTTGTCACCAGTGCCGAGGTTGGGAGACTACTCTCTCCCGTCTCTGCTTTGGCCATACACAAATAACCCGCACATAAAAGAGAGAAGCTTACGACGATGTTTCGGTCCGACTTGGACCATTGACAAAGTCACACTGGCCATACTCGTCTTACTCATGGATATCTCATGGAGAGGCGCCCTGCTTCTCTCTGTGAGAATTGTCGGGTTCCATTATCAGTCAGCCACATTCTGTTAGACTGCCCACTTTATCAACGAGCACGCAGAATTTACCTCCAACGTCGTCTTCGCTCCGTTGCTCTCTTTTTACCTTCCCTTCTCGCTGATGGACCCACCTTTCATCCGGACTCTCTCATTGACTTTTTGACAATAACTGACTTACTTCACAAACTCTGATGATACCTTCAGCCCTTTCTACCTCGATCTCTTGCTACCCTCTACCCTGTACTATCCCCTGCCCCGCTGTTTTCTGTAACCTACTGATCACCCCTCCTCCCTTCTGCCGCCCAATACCCTCGCTTCCTTTCCTACCCTGCAGCGCTGTATAGCCCTTGTGGCTTAGCGCTTCTTTTTTATTATAATAATAATCTGGTTACCCTTCAGGGGAGGTTCCTTGATCTCAGTAAGGGGCTTCTGATCTAAAGGCTTTGATTGGTGACTGGGATACCCATCCCTGGTGGGAGATAATGACCAGTTTCTAAGAATTCTCTAATGGAAATTTCAGTGCCAAATACTTTCCCCATATTCTGTAATTACCCTCCCCTCCCATTTTCTAAAATTCAACATGACTATGGATTTCCTCACTTTCTGTAAAAACATTCCCATTTTCTATAATTCAAGACAACTCTGCATTTCCCATTTTCTGAAATTTAAAGGTCCCACTTTCTAAAGCTGGACATCCCATATTCAACCTACTCTACATGCCTCAACCACCTAGATAACCCTTCCTCAGTACTCTGAATTAAACCTTTGGTGATCCCACACTGCCTTTTAATTTCTATGATCTGAATTCTTTGCATGATATTCACACCACACATGGCATATCTGCTATCTCTGGCTGCCTCCTCACTACAGCATTAAACCCATTCCTCATACCCATCTGATAGTATTGGTACTACTAAACTCTAGTACATTCCCTTTTTTGCCTCCCAAGATTAACTTTTCTTTCTAGAGATGCTTCAACACACCACCCATTCCCCCCCTCCCCCAACTACTCTATGGTTCATTTCATAGTTCATAGACCCACCTGCTAAGGTAAACTATAGAACAGATGAAGTGAAAAGGGTGGGTGGCATATTAAGTATCTGTGGAAAGAAAGTTTATTTATGGAGGGGAAAAAAAAAAAGTACCTGAATATAGCAGTAACAACACATTTATATGGATGTTAGGCACAAGTTATATGCTGTGAAATCCTATTGTCATTTAATACCAAAAAGTTTAACCAAAAGAAAAGCTCTGTCTCCACCATTTCAGATAAATGAAGTGAAAAGGCATTAATTAGATTATGAAGAGGTTTGGAACAATAAAGTGGATCTGTAAACAAAGAAAGACAAACCTTAGTGTGGTGTGTGTACAAAACTGGAGCCCAGAGGGGTAGTAACTTGGTGAGGACAGTAGAGCGACACTCGTGTAGGGCCTCCATCAAACTCAGAAAGTGTAGGTTGACCATTTCACTTAGCTGAATTAACAAATTGATATTGTCATAAATTTATTTATAACAGGACTGAAAACATTTTGAGAAATAAAGGTGTTTGTGTTACTTAAGCTGATCGAGTTTTACAGACTAAAATATGATTCATACATGATCTCATGCAACATTCAATATTTTTTTTGCTAACCAGCTAAATTAGTGTTTTATTGGCAAGATTAAAATCATACCCAATTACAGTATAGTAATAACAGTCTCTGGAGATAATTAGTTCTATGTAAAAACTGCTTCTGAAAATCATTTTAGTAAATCTGTCTACTCTGTCATGCTTTATTAAACTACAAGGTTTTGTTCTGTGGGGTAAGATAAATATGGATGTACTTCTTAAAACTGACTTAACACTCATGGGTTGGATAAATTTCTACACAAGATGCTTCGGGTACAGGGTTAGCATGCAAGAAACAGACTGTCATTTATCCATAACATCAGTCATAATATTCAAATATTCAGGGAATATACTTAGAAATAGTGTAATTAGTGTTTACAACATTGAAGAATGTATGGAATAAACAAAGATATATAACAAGTTTGGTAAAGCTATCTGTGGAACCATGCAATGCACTATGTATAACAACTTTTATTTAATGAACATAAATTGCTACCAGTCTGAATTCAGGGATCAAAGTTATCATTAGACCACTCTACTAGGTAATAATGTAGAATATTTAAAAATATTAATTTACTACATTCTAATGATTTAGGTACTGTACTAGGTACTTTTGTTATAGAAATGGAGTGTGTTTACACTTGCCTCTATACATTTTCAGTACTTAATGGCCCATATGAGTTTAGCATGTTTTTACAAATATAATTGTTTTTTGAAATTTTAATGTTTAAGCATGTAATACTCTATTAGAATGCCTATTATATCAAACTGTAATTCAACTTAATGGTATTAGTAGAGGTTGGTTCTTAATGTTTCCCTAATTGAAAAAGACAAGACAACAGATGAAGAAAAAATCCTAATTTGCAAGTTACTGGATTTTTCTACTGCAAAACATTGAGACATTAAACCCACTAGCTCTAATCCTATTACCTGTGTACTTAAATTTAACCTGCTGCTATTTCATTAGATTCTTAGTTTTGAATAAAAAAATTATGCAGTCACTGCAAGATATCCACACTCCACTAGTGTTGAACTATGTCCATGTTCTAGCAGATGTTACTATAGGTCAAGAAAAATACCTGGGCTGTTTCAGTTTCCTGGGGTGAAATGGCAGCCCAATATGGATAAGGAAGGAATATACAATAACTGTATGATATAAACAGACAAGGAACATCAAGTTCCACTCCTACTACTATAAATTTCATTATTTATATGTACACACTGCATAATTAAACAAAAATTCAAACGAACTTTTACTACTATCCTTTGATATTGCTAATTTTTACTGAACACAACGATTAAACTTCTATCATTCTCTCTCCTCCCCTGGCTCTCCATACCTTGGTAAGAAATGGCTGTTATATACTTTACCATGTCAACCCAATTTAAAAAAAAAAAATCTACCTCAAAAAAAAAAAATTATAAGCTTAATGTTTTCTAGAATTTTTCTTATTACAGTATTAAACTTTTTTGTATAACCTAACCTTCAATGGAAGCTTTATATGTAGGTTTTCCACATTTGTAGGAAATACTTGATCAAACTAATAATTATACCATGTCAAATGTCAATTTGGGAAGAAAAAAAATTTAGCCTAAGAAAGTTTCCAACACTTTAAAATCATACCACATACTCTGACATACTGATGATGAAAATGTAGTGAAAATTATTAAATACAGATAATAAAAGCTATATATATACAAAGTTTTTTTCCACATTTGTAGGAAATAAATGATCAAACTAATAATTTTAATGTCAATTACCAATTTTAGCAGAAAAAAATTTTGGCCTAAATTTTTTTCAAGCCCTCAGTATTGTTTAAAAATCACACGACAGGTACCCGTGAGATACTGTTTAAAAAACTGAGGTGAAAAACATTACAGGTAATTATAAAATATAGGACTTTTTATGTAACCTAACCTCAAATGAAAGCATTATATACAAAGTTTTCAACATTTATAGGCAGTAACTGATCAAACTAATAATTCTACCATGTCAATTGCCAACTGCTTAAAATTACAATTTGATATACTGATGAAGAAAATGTGAAAATTATTAAATACAGATAATTTTAGCATATTAGATTGTATCCAATTTTTTTTTCACATTTGTAAGAAGAAATTGATCAGACTGCTAATTCTACTATGTCAATTGCCAATTTTGGGAGGAAAAAAACATTTTAACCTAAAATATACCCTTGAGATGTGTCATTAATCATTAGTAACCAGACAATTTTAGGACCTGAGTTATCTAAAGATCCACATGAAGAGAACACAAAAGTATAAAAATACGTACCAAGAGTCTGAAGACATAGTGAGCAACCAAAATTTTTATGGGAAGAAAGCTACCAATGGAACAAAGAAATACAGGGAAGGACAACAGGGTATACATGGACACATGACAAGTCAACACAGTGAACCAATACTCACACACCAGGGTCAAACATACAACAGTCCACATTACAGGCCATACTGGATGACAGAATATACATACAATGAGCATTAGTATGGCTCTTTGTGTGCATGGTACAATATAAAGGTACTAAAAAAAAATATCAAATGGTAAATCTTTCTTTTTGCCAACACTGAGGGACTGAAAACAAATAGAAATGACAATTAACTATATGCGGGTTCCTCACAGAAATAAATGCTATGACTGAAAAACAGAAAGGAAGTTTTGGCCAGTGAGATACGAGTGAAAAAATACAATATTTATAGATGTCAGTAAATAAGTCACAGGGAAGAATAGGTTTTACGTGAAATACACATTTTGTTGCACAGAACTGTTGAATTAATCAAGTAATACAGTAGAAGTACTAGATGTTATAGTCAGGATAAAAGAACTTAGTAATTATGTTTGTATATAAACCATTATAAATAAATTTTTAATTTTGTGATGTGTTATACTGACCACTTTAGAGTGTGAGACCAGCTGAAGAATCCCTGGAGTGACCTTTGCCCAGAAATCAGTAAGTATAGCTGAGATGCTGCTATAACTGTCACCTCCTGGGCTTCCAGCACCTTGTTCTAGGTATACTGTCCATAGCTGTAGAGAGAAAATATAATTACTTTCTTGAAATGGCAACAAGAATCATGGGCATGGATATTTTACTATAAAATGGATTATTAGACCATTATACCTATACAGTGGACCCCCGCTTTACTATCAGCTCCCAATGCGACCAATTATGTAAGTGCGTTTGTACGCGTTTGTATGTGTAAGTAGTTGGTTGGTAGACAGCAACCACCCAGGGAGGTACTACCGTCCTGCCAAGTGAGTGTAAAACGAAAGCCTGTAATTGTTTTACATGATGGTAGGATTGCTGGTGTCTTTTGTCTGTCTCATAAATATGCAAGATTACAGGTATGTCTTGCTACTTCTACTTACACTTAGGTCACACTACACATACATGTACACGTTTATTTATACACACTCATCTGAGTTTTCTTTGATTTTATCTTAATAGTTCTTGGTCTTATTACTTTTCCTTTTATATCCATGGGGAAGTGGAATAACAATCTTTCCTCCGTAAGCCATGCGTGTTGTAAAAGTCAACTAAAATGCCGGGGACAATGGGCTAGTAACCCCTTTTCCTGTAAAGATTACTAAAAAGAATAATAATAAGAAAATTGTCAAAGTGGGAAGTCTGAATGTGCATGGATGTTGTGCAAATGATAAGAAAGAGATGATTGTGGATGTTATGAATGAGAAGAAGCTGGATGTCCTGGCTTTAAGTGAAACAAAGCTGAAGGGGGTGGGAGAGTTTCAATGGAGAGGAATAAATGGGATTAGGTCAGGGGTTTCAAATAGAGTTAGAGCTAAAGAAGTAGCAATAATGTTGAAGGATAAGCTATGGCAGGAAAAGAGGGACTATAAAATGTATTAATTCAAGGATTATGTGGAGTAAAAATAAGATTGGATGTGAAAAGTGGGTTATAATAAGCGTGTATGCACCTGGAGAAGAAAGAAGTGTAGAGGAGAGAGATTTTGGGAAATGCTGAGTGAATGCATGGGGAGTTTTGAATCAAGTGTGAGAGTAATGGTGGTTGGGGATTTCAATGCTAAAGTGGGTAAAAATGTTATGGAGGGAGTAGTAGGTAAATTTGGGGTGCCAGGGGTAAATGTAAATGGGGAGCCTTTAATTGAGCTATGTGTAGAAAGAGATTTGGTAATAAGTAATACATATTTTATGAAAAAGAGGATAAATAAATATACAAGGTATGATGTAGCACATAATGAAAGTAGTTTATTAGATTATGTATTGGTGGATAAAAGGTTGATGGGTAGGCTCCAGGATGTACATACTTATAGAGGGGCAACTGATATATCGGATCATTATTTAGTTGTAGCTACAGTTAGAGGAAGGTGGCAACAAGTAAGAGGGAGGTGAAAGTGTATAAACTAAGGGAAGAGGAAGTTCGGGTGAGATATAAGCGACTATTGGCAGAAAGGTGGGCAAGTGCAAAGATGAGTAGTGGGGGGGTTGAAGAGGGTTGGAATAGTTTTAAAAATGCAGTATTAGAATGTGGGGCAGAAGTTTGTGGTTATAGGAGGGTGGGTGCAGGAGACAAAAGGAGTGATTGGTGGAATGATGAAGTAAAGGGTGTGATAAAAGAGAAAAAGGTAGCTTATGAGAGGTTTTTACAAAGCAGAAGTGTTATAAGAAGAGCAGAGTATATGGAGAGTAAAAGAAAGGTGAAGAGAGTGGTGAAAGAGTGCAAAAGGAGAGCAGATGATAGAGTGGGAGAGGCACTGTCAAGAAATTTTAATGAAAATAAGAAAAAATTTTGGAGTGAGTTAAACAAGTTAAGAAAGCCAAGGGAAAGTATGGATTTGTCAGTTAAAAACAGAGTAGGGGAGTTAGTAAATGGGGAGATGGAGGTATTAGGTAGATGGCGAGAATATTTTGAGGAACTTTTAAATGTTAAGGAAGAAAGAGAGGCAGTAATTTCATGCACTGGTCAGGGAGGTATACAATCTTTTAGAAGTGAAAAAGAGCAGAATGTAAGTGTGGGGGAGGTACGTGAGGCATTACGTAGAATGAAAGGGGGTAAAGAAGCTGGAACTGATGGGATCATGACATAAAATGTTAAAAGCAGGGGGGATATAGTGTTGGAGTGGTTAGTACTTTTGTTTAATAAATGTATGAAAGAGGGGAAGGTACCTAGGGATTGGCGGAGAGCATGTATAGTCCCTTTATATAAAGGGAAAGGGGACCAAAGAGATTGTAAAAATTATAGAGGAATAAGTTTACTGAGCATACCAGGAAAAGTGTACGGTAGGGTTATAATTGAAAGAATTAGAGGTAAGACAGAATGTAGGATTGCGGATGAGCAAGGAGGTTTCAGAGTGGGTAGGGGATATGTAGATCAAGTGTTTACATTGAAGCATATATGTGAACAGTATTTAGATAAAGGTAGGGAAGTTTTTATTGCATTTATGGATTTAGAAAAGGCATATGATAGAGTGGATAGAGGAGCAATGTGGCAGATGTTGCAAGTATACGGAATAGGTGGTAAGTTACTAAATGCTGTGAAGAGTTTTGATGAGGATAGTGAGGCTCAGGTTAGGATGTGTAGAAGAGAGGGAGACTACTTCCCAGTAAAAGTAGGTCTTAGACAGGGATGTGTAATGTCACCATGGTTGTTTAATATATTTATAGATGGGGTTGTAAAGGAAGTAAATGCTAGGGTGTTCGGGAGAGGGGTGGGATTAAAATTTTGGGAATCAAATTAAAAATGGGAATTGACACAGTTACTTTTGCTATGATACTGGCTTATGGGAGATTAAAAAAAAATTTGAAAAGGGTTAGTGGATGATTTGGGAATGTTTTAAAAGGTAGAAAGTTGAAATAAACATAAAAAAGGGGAAAGGTGTGAAGTACAAAATTTAGATAAAAAAAAGGGAAACAAATTAGGAGGAGAGATGGAAAAGTAAAATTTTTCAATTTTGGGGGAGTTGACATGTCGGAAAAGGGATTTATGAAGGATGGGGTTAATCATAAATTGAGGGGGGGAAAAAAAAGGGAGTGGTGCATTGAGGTATATGGGAGTCAAAAACCGTTATCATGGAGGCAAGAAGGGTATTATGAAAGTATATGTCCCAAACACTCTTTATGGGTGTGAAGCTTGGGGGGAAAATGCAGCACGGGGAACGGTTGGGGGCAGGGGAGATTCCTGTTCAAGGCAATGTTGGTGTAAATATTATGCAAAAAATTTTGGGAGTGGGGAAATTAGGAAAAGGTGTGGAGTTAATAAAATATTAGTCAGAGGCAGAAGAGGGGGTTTTTGAGTGGTTTGGGGCATTTTAAAAGAATGGACAAGTAAAGGCATGGAAAACATACAAACTATAGGGGAAGGAAGGCGTTAAGGGCGCCTCGAAAGGGTTGGAGGGGGGAAAGGGGGTTTTTGGGCAAGGGGCCTTTGGGCTTCCCGCAAGTGGCGTGAGCGTGTTAGATAGGAGTAAAGGAGACAAATGGTACTGGCCTGACGACTTTGGAGTGTGACGGTAATATTTAGTGAAGGGATTTGGGAAAAAGGTTTTTTTTTCATATATCCGACTTGAGTCCTGGAATGGGGAAATACAAGTCTCACTTTTTAAAAGGGGGGGTTTTGGGGTTTGGGATTTGGAAGCATAGTTGTGTACTTTTTATGTATTTTCTAAACTGTTGTATCCCGACACATCTGCAAAAAAAAGTGATAATGTTGAGGGGTGAAAGGTGAATGATGATGAAAGTATTTTCTTTTTGGGGATTTTCTTTCTTTTTTGGGTCACCCTGCCTCGGTGGGAGACGGCCGACTTGTTGAAAAAAAAAAAAAAAAAGTTTGTACGTGTATGTTTGGGGGTCTGAAATGGAATAATCTAATTCACAATATTCCTTATGGGAACAAATTCGTTCAGTAATGGCACCTGAACATACTTCTGGAATGAAATAATATCGTAAACCGGGGGTCCACTGTATATCCTCTCAAGGAATGCTGGTGAGGGGCTCTTGATTTAGGGAATTGGATCTATGTTCCAGCTCCCTGAATTAAGCCTGAATACCTTCCATAACCCCCCCCCCAGAAGCTGTATAATCCTATGGGTTTAGTGCTTCCCCATGATTATAATAATAATATACCTATATATCACTGTATACTTATGAATATAGGCACTAATCCAGAGTTAAACCTCCTTTCTGATCTTTACAATAATCAATTCACAGCAAACCAGGACTGAAAATATTATACTGCAAATCATGTCAAAACTATCTTCACCAACACCAAAAATGCACAAATCCCAAGGTAAACACTCTGATGACTTCTCTGCATTCCTAGTTTCCATAATCTGAAATTTCTCCTCTTCATAGCATATTCTCATCTGGCCATTGCCTTATTGCATCAATTAACCTATTATTATTGAAAAAGGACTCTTATTAGCATTCACTTCTTTCATACCTCCATTTATAAATATAAAAAACCATTACACATACTTGCCTAAAACCATTTTTTACAGCTGATAACACAAACTCCCTTTACCTGACATAAAATGAAGGCATGGAATAGAGATGACATATGAAGCACAGAGGTTTTTGACTGCTCAGCAAAACCTGCCAAGATCACCTGTAAAATACATAAAAGTATTTTTTTATCATTAATTCTGAACAAGCACAGCCGAGTTGGCAGTTCAGCATTTTTCATCTTTCAAAAACTATATCAAATAAGTTCATCTCATGAAGATAAAGACATAGGCTAAATAATGTAAAGTTCCACATTTACATAACTATGCCATTTTGCCTCCCATGGTGAAAATTAAGAATAAAGAGGACTGATCCAGAATCTAACCCACAGTTTGGGATTACTATCCTGTCAGCCATTGAACACTGGAACCAGTGTGTGTGTATAGTTCAGTGGTTAAAACAACAGGCTAATAATCTAAAAGTGCAGATTCAAATCCTGAACCTCTGTTGAATCCTGTGTTACATTTCAAATACTGATAATGTATTTATATTACAAACTATTAATTAAATATTATTTTTCCAACCTGAATATGGTCAGCAATATGACAAGAAGCTTCTGGAGGTATTGGCTGGCACACTATTGAAGCTGAGCTTCCAATAAGACAAGTGTGTGTAAGAGCACCAAGCAGCAGCCATGACAGTAAACGAATGTGGGACACACACTCAATAAATTCTCGAGGTCTGAAAACAGTAAAGCACAATATCAGTGTTGCATAGCTAGTGTACAATTAGATAAAATTTGTTCATATACAAAGGTAAATAGGAGAAGGACTGCAGTCTGAGAACTAAGAGTACATTTATTATATTATTATTATTCTTAGCTATGGGGGATTTCCAAATTCTGGTGGTGGGAAGTACAGTGGACCCCCGGTATTCAGTATTAATCCGTTCCTGATAGTTCATCGAATACCGATAATATCGAAAACCGAATCAATTTTCCTCATAAGAAATAATGGAAATCAAATTAATCTGTGCAAGACACCCAAAAGTATGAAAAATAAAAAATTTTACTACATGAAATATTAAGTTTAATGCAATAGAATAATTACAATAACAATAAAATAATTGACACTTAACTTTAATGAAGATCTGGTGATGATTGATGGGATGGGAGGAGGGGAGAGGTGTTAGTGTTTAGAAGGGGAATCCCCTTCCATTAGGACTTGAGGTAGCAAGTCCTTTTCCGGGGTTACTTCCCTTCTTCTTTTAATGCCACTAGGACCAGCTTGAGAGTCACTGGACTTCTGTCACACAACATAACTGGCAGCCTCACCATGCCTAATCACACTATGTATGCCACTACAATTCTTAAATCTTTCAAACCAACCTTTGCTGGCCTTAAATTCACTCACATCACCACCAGTTGCAGGCAATTTCTTTACCAAATCGTCATGCAACTGCCTAGCCTTTTCACAAATGATCGCTTGAGAGATGCTATCTCCTGCTATCTGTTTTTTATTTATCCACACCAATAACAATCTCTCAACATTTTCTAACACTTGCGGTCGCTGTTTTGTAATCACAGTTGCACCTTTTGCAAGAACAGCTTCCTTGATTGCCGTTTTCCTGGTCACTATAGTAGAGATGGTTGATTGGGGTTTATTATACAACCTAACCAGCTCCGACACACACACTCCACTTTCATACTTTGCAATTATCTCTTTCTTCATTTCATAAGTCATTAGCGACTTTTTTCTCGAAGGGATGGCACTAGAAGCTTTCTTCGGGCCCATGGTGACTTATTTTGCAGAAACAAGCACCAAACACAGTGATAATATGGATAATACGGAATGTACCGAATGTATCCTTAGAAGTGCACACACTGGCTGGCTTGTAAACACTGGCACACACGGTGCAATTCAGGCCACACGTGGACACGTCTCGTACGAATCGTATCGAATACCGGATTTTCAATCGAATACTGAGGAAAATTTTTTGCGATATAATGCATCGAATACCGGATTTATCGAATACCGATGCCATCGAATACCGGAGGTCCACTGTACATTGCCTGCACTCTCAAAGAGAAGTATGAATGTTGCAGTTCAGAGGGTCATTTTATTTGTGAAATCTGTACACTTTTGGAACGAAAACTTTTGAATGGATAGTGAAAGTTTCCTGTTTTGGGTCAAATTATCCTGGTGGGTGATGGCCAGTAAGGAAAAAAATTATGGAAAAAGTGCTTTCTTTCAAGGAAGGTCCCTTGCTGCAATGAAGGGAATAGAAGGTAATCAGGTTTAAACCAGCAAAGTGGAGAATAACTACAATTACATGAATCAAGAGCCCTTTACTAGCTTTTCACTGTACCTCAGTATACATCCTTAATCCGTTCCAGGACCTTGGACTTATATCAAACAGGACGTATACCAAATGAATTTTCCTATAAGAAATATAGGGAAAACGATTAATCTGTTTCCACGAAAAAAAAATTCTATTGTTATTGGCATATTATACATTGATGGGGTTGTATAAAATAATACATAAATACAGAACAATTAGATGAAATAAATGCAAATTACTTTGCTGAAGAGTCGAGTGCCTACTAGGATAGTGCTGAGAAGGGAGGAGGAGGAAATGCTATTGTTTGGAAGGAAAGTCCCCTTCTCTTTTCTGTCTCTCTTTCCTATTTGGACTTGGTTGAAGCTCACCAGGTTTGACTTTTACTAAAAATCTGTCCAAAGAACTTTGATTCTGCCTTCTCCAAAACAGGCCTGTTTTGTCACAATTAAAAACATGTTGGGGAACAAAACCCTCAGCCTCCACAAATTTGCGAAACTCTTTAACAAAATCACTGGTGGCATCTTTATCAACACTGGCTCCTTCTCTATGCCTCACAACACTGTAAATGCCAGTCCTCTTCTTAAAATTATTAAACCAGCCATGGTTGGCTTTAAACACTTCACTTTCTTGGCTCGTTCCTGCCTTGTTTTTCAAAAGATCAGCATGCATCAGTTTTGCCTTTTCACAAATCATTGCCTCTGATATGCTATCGCCAGCACACAATTTTTCTGTTATCCCGATCTAAAGCAATTTTTCAACATGCTCTAATGTCCTTGATCTTTGTTTGGTAATCGATTTCACCGTCTTCACAACATTAGCCGATTTAATAACATCTTTCTTTTTCACAACCGTAGATACCATTCTCGGCATACGGTATGCAGCAGCCAAGTCCCAGATATGCATGCCACCTTCATACTTTTCAACAATCTCTTTTTTCACCTCCATGGTGATTCAAGCTATTTTCGTTCCTTGGCTCTTCTCATTAACTTTCTTAGAACTCACGGTTAATGAATTTACTAAAAATGTATACGAAAAAACAAAATCACATGAAAATTCACAGAGTTACAGTGCAGGTTGTTCAGTGAATGGTAGCAATGAGCGTACTGATGTTAGTGGGCAGTCGTGGCTTTGTCTCGAGAGAGAGGTAAACAAGGGTAGTGCGTGGTGTCATGACTCATATTGACCCATACAAGTTCTAGCACACAAGTTGTATTCCAAACGAAGGTCGTATACCAAGCAAAAATTTTTGCGTCCAAACAGGACATTCACCAAGTTGGACTTATTCCAAAGCAGACGTATACCGAGGTACCACTGTATATTAACAGAATTTTCCTATCCCCTTCCCTGTTTACCTGGAGTTTACCTGGAGAGAGTTCCTGTTATCATTATGACTTATTCACTACATCTGCCTTTACTGGCCAACTGCTCCTCCCTATTACTCTATTTAAGTTGAGAGTTTACTGTACTTTCATTGTTAATTTAGTGAACATCTGAGGGTAAATGTAAATTTGAAGGTGTATGGACTTTCATTATTAGCTATATGAATACTTGAAGGTATATATTTTTATTATTGCTATGTGACTATAATGGTGTTTACTGTCATTAGTGGCTGAAAATTCTGATCATGCAAAGAAAACAAAACAAAACCAATTACTGCTAAACTAATCAAACAACAATATACAGTGGTCCCTCGATAATCATAAGGCTCGTAATTTTCGAAAATCGTAACGTTATTTTTGTCAAAACATTGGCTCGTGAATCGTCGTTTGACTCGCAAATAGTCGTTCGTCTGGGACAGGTATACACAGCCCCGAGTCACCTCACACTCCATTCCCAGCCAGTGTGCCATTCTTTATCAGTGAGTGAGGATGATCCCACGAGTTCATACGATACATTTCATAATATTCCATTCATTTTAGTGTTTGCAATTGCTAAATAAGTCACCATAGCCCCAAAGAAAGCTTCTAGTGCCAGTCCTTTGGTAAAGAATGTGAGAAGCACATATAATTTAAGAAAAAGTTTGTAGAAAAATACAAAGGTGGTGGTGGTAGAGTGGAAGCAGTTGTGATAGTGGTTGATGGTGGTAGTGATGGTGGTAGCAGTTGTAATAACTGTAGAAGGTGGTAGTGATGGTGGTAGAGGGTGTCTTCTTCAGTGATTCAGCAATTCTACTACTCCTCCAATGTTGAAGATGAAAGTTAAGACACTTGTGCAACATCTGGTTATCTTTATTGTAGATGTTTCGCCATCCAGTGGCTTTATCAATACAGATTCTTGGACATAACAAGAAAACAGAAGAACTATATACAAAAGATGAGGTAATCAGTCCCTCAGCCTTGGAGGTGGTGTTTAGAGCACTGTGGTTGCAGAGATTTTGCAACCTTCAGAATCTCTGCAACCACGGTGCTCTAAACACCACCTCCAAGGCTGAGGGACTGATTACCTCATCTTTTGTATATAGTTCTTCTGTTTTCTTGTTATGTCCAAGAATCTGTATTGATAAACCCACTGAATGGCGAAACGTCTACAATAAAGATAACCAGATGTTGCACAAGTGTCTTAACATTCATCTTGTCAGTATTGTATACCTGTCCTCCAATGTTGTTGGAGTTATATAGGGCTACAGAAAACATTGCCGCCTCAGCTGCTGCTTCACCACCATTGTGGACGGCTTACTCTCAGTGGCCCTTATATACCCAACAGCAACACAACACAGCACCTCTCGTGACATATAATTACTTATTTTATTCATTCTAGAGTATATTCCATGTTTCTATGTTATTAATATTGTTTATATGTCATATTAGTTGAATTGTGATAGATAAATAAGCCGTAGAGTTGATATTAGTGTCATATTCTGCAACAATTAACTTGCCATCCCTCCCTCACACAAACAAGTCTTCAATGAGAACATAAGAAAGGAGGAACACTGCAGGTCTACTGGCCCATACAAGGCAGGTCCTTTTCAAAATGACCTCTACCCAATACTACCCAAGAATTTACTCCCGTACCCAATTACACAAATCAAACTCAGCCCCTCCCACTCATATATTTGCCCAATCTCTTTTTAAAGTACCCAAGGTCCTAGCCTATTGGTAAAGTACCCAAGGTCCTACCCTATTGGTAAATGTGATGTTAAATAAGAACATCAGAACTTAAGAAAGTAGGAACACTGCAACAGGCCTGCTGACCCATACTAGGCAGGTCCTTCAAAAATCCAACCCACTAACAGAACAAATGCTACCCAAGCAAATCCAACTCCAACCCCATTCACTCATGTATTTATCCAACCTAAATTTGAAACTACCCAAGCCATAGCTTTTAGAACATAAGAAAGGAGAAACACTGCAATAGGCCTGTTGGCCCATACTAGGCCAGTCCTTCACAAATCCAACCCACTAACAGCATAACTGCTATACCCAAGCAATAAGCTTTGATAAACCTATTTACTCATGTGCAAGACCAATTCAAACCAACCCCTCCCACTCATGTATTTATCCAACCTAAATTTGAAACTACCCAATGTTTTAGCTTTCATCACCCTACTCAGCAGATGGTTCCACTCATCAACTACCCTTATTACCAATGTTCATTTATACATTTTATTAGTGCTTTACATTTATTTGGCATTCTTTTCTGCATGTAAATCTATATTTAAGCTAGGTAAGTGACCCCTGAAGTGACCTAGAGTCCTTATGGAGGAGGATTTCCCTTCCAAACAATAACCTCTCTTCCCTCTCTCCTCCTCCCTGTCTTCCATTCATCAACAACAGCCTTCAATAAAGGTAACTGTCATGTTCAATGTTCATTGTTTTGTGCATGTAAATCTATCTTTAAGGTAAAAAAAAAAAATTGTTGTTGATACTTCTGGATGTCTGGAACGAATCAATTGGATTTACATTATTTTTTATAGAGAAAATGGATTCGAAAATTGTCATTTTCGATAATAGTCACACTTCCAGGAACAGATTAATTACGAAAAACGAGGGACCACTGTAATACCAATTTAAAGGATTTCAAATTTTTACCCTTGTTGAACAGTTGTAGGAGGATTGTTCAGCCATGGAAGATATTTAGTAATAGCTCTATTGTCTCTGCTATTACCACGGGTAATTTCCAGTGCTAAATACTGAGAGATGCCCGCTTTCACCAATCCACCCATTGTATCCTCATTCAAGCCAACACTGCTACGGCAATTTGACTGAAAAAAAAATACGTAATGTTAGCCTTGTCTGAAGCTACTGAGGCACTGATGTTATGAAGGAAGCCCTGACCTATATGACAAACCTTGTTGATTTTGAAGTGGAATCCATTAAAAGATGAGAAGGCAAAAGAAAGCAGAAATGAAAAGTGATAGGAAGACCCAAAAAGTGGCACTTTAGATATAGGACTGATAAGCAGTAATTCACAAATAACACAAACTTTGGAGAGAAAACTTTACAATTATTATCATTATTATTATTATTATTATTATAATCAAAACCAAGCACTAGATCTGCTCGGAGAAAACTTTACACAACATTTAGGTCCAAAATGTCATCTAAAGTTTCCTTTCCAAAGTGCGAGTTATTTGTATACTGTTCCATAACAGTTTGTGACTTTCATTCTTAAAGGCAGCAATTCCTATAGTAGTGTATTGAACAAGTTATAGAAAAGAACATTTTTTAAATATATATTGTTTAACAACAAAATTATGGCAATAAATAATATGTAACGAATTAATATATTGGAATTAATACAGTCGAAGAAAGTTACATTACCTTCACTTTGGTTAGTGTATGTACATCAGCAATGAACTCCAGAGCATCATGCAAATGTGAGCGCATACATTCTGCAGCACATGTGTTGGGAAAATTGTGAAAATCTTGAATGTCCTTAGTCAAGTCTCCAACAACAGTATTATTACCCAAGGTTCCTCCACTGTCCTGAATACATAGAGATAACAGTATGTGTTAATAATTATAATTCAAATGCAGCCTCTCCTCACTTAGTGACATACTTGTTTACCGACGACTCAGACTTACGACAGGCTCTCTGACCAGTATGCATACCTAAATAATGCATATTAGAGCTGATTTCCTCTATTCTGTTTATTACAATATAGAGTACACTGCTGTATAAACATTTAAAAATATACCAGAAATGTTATAAATGGTACAAAGGTGACATTAAAACAATATCAAAGATGGCTGACACAAACCCACTACCATTATAGTATGCTCCTAACGAATTCGTTTACCGACGTGGTCTTAGGAATGGAACTCTGTCGTTAAGTGAGAAGAGGCTGTATTTATTCACTGCAGCACTAATAATAGACCTGATGACACTGTGCTCTTGGGAGATTCTTAAGAGAAGTTGCAGAGATTGGTGGATGAATTTGGTAAGGTGTGCAAAAGAAGAAAATTGAAAGTGAATACAGGAAAGAGTAAGGTTATGAGGATAACAAAAAGATTAGGTGATGAAAGATTGGATATCAGATTGGAGGGAGAGAGTATGGAGGAGGTGAATGTATTCAGATACTTGGGAGTGGACGTGTCAGCGGATGGGTCTATGAAAGATGAGGTGAATCATAGAATTGATGAGGGGAAAAGGGTGAGTGGTGCACTTAGGAGTCTGTGGAGACAAAGAACTTTGTCCTTGGAGGCAAAGAGGGGAATGTATGAGAGTATAGTTTTACCAACGCTTTTATATGGGTGTGAAGCATGAGTGATGAATGTTGCAGCGAGGAGAAGGCTGGAGGCAGTGGAGATGTCATGTCTGAGGGCAGTGTGTGGTGTGAATATAATACAGAGAATTCGTAGTTTGGAAGTTAGGAGGAGGTGCGGGATTACCAAAACTGTTGTCCAGAGGGCTGAGGAAGGGTTGTTGAGGTGGTTCGGACATGTAGAGAGAATGGAGCAAAACAGAATGACTTCAAGAGTGTATCAGTCTGTAGTGGAAGGAAGGCGGGGTAGGGGTCGGCCTAGGAAATGTTGGAGGGAGGGGGTAAAGGTTTTGTGTGCGAGGGGCTTGGACTTCCAGCAGGCATGCATGAGCGTGTTTGATAGGAGTGAATGGAGACAAATGGTTTTTAATACTTGACATGCTGTTGGAGTGTGAGCAAAGTAACATTTATGAAGGGGTTCAGGGAAACCGGCAGGCCGGACTTGAGTCCTGGAAATGGGAAGTACAGTGCCTGCACTCTGAAGGAAGGGTGTTAATGTTGCAGTTTAAAAACTGTAGTGTAAAGCACCCTTCTGGCAAGACAGTGATGGAGTGAATGATGGTGAAAGTTTTTCTTTTTCGGGCCACCCTGCCTTGGTGGGAATCGGCCATTGTGATAATAAAAATAATAATAATAATACTGATCTCACTCGCTATGGCACAATTTACAAAAAGAATTTAACTACATTCCAATCATTGTATCCTCATTCAAGTCAACACTGCTAATGGCAATTTAAATTTGGGGAATATCTGCGTAATTCCTGCTGAAACAGTGCCTGAGATGCAGATGCTCACCTGCCCATCTAATAAAAAAAGTTTTTATTGACCTGTTTATGTCAGACTGTCTTTTGGATTGAGGATTAACGGTAGTTGACCCTGATACATGTGTCCAATTTCAAGAGTTTTTCTACCTACTTAACTGGTAAACAGTCTGGTTGACTGTCTGGTCAACCAGGCTGTTTACCAGTTAGTGGTGCACAGGCCAATATAGCCATCACAACCTGGCTCATTAGGCACTTACAGCAGACAGCTGATCCTGATGAGGAAGCCACCTTGCTACTTTTCTTTATTTTCTTAAGAAAATCCTTAACACCTCTAAATTACCACTAATCTTAAATAATTTACAAAGGATCTATCAAGGTAATAATATTTATTTATTGGCAAGGTAAAAATATTTATTTCTAGGCAATAATAATTAGCTAGGAGTCTACCTCTATATGAAAACTGCCCACCAATCTATGCAACAAATACAGTGGACCCCCGCATAACGATCACCTCCGAATGCGACCAATTATGTAAGTGTATTTATGTAAGTGCGTTTGTACGTGAATGTTTGGGGGTCTGAAATGGACTAATCTACTTCACAATATTCCTTAGGGGAAAAAATTCGGTCAGTACTGGCACCTGAACATACTTCTGGAGAGAAAAAATATCGTTAACCGGGGGTCCACTGTACTACAGATAAAAGAGCAAGCTATAAGAAGCAAGAGCATGTATTAAGACATTTAACCTGTAGGAAGCAGCAGGAAAATAAATTATTTCATAGTTATATTGTACTGTATGAGGTTATAACAAATTAGTTCTATACTATACATTGATTAAAGTAATAACTTTTCTCTTTTAACACAGTAGCCATCTCCCACCAAGGTAGGGTGACCCAAAAGCAAAAAACACTTTCATCATTCACACTATCACTGTTCACTGTCTTGCCAGAGGCGCACAGATACAACAGTTTAGACATCCCTCTAAACAGCAAAATAACCTTAACTTTAAAAAGAAATAATGACTGAACTTTACTATGAGCTAAAAATACCCAAGAAGTTACCAACCTGCACCACAAGCTGCACAAGAAGAACCAAGTTGGTATCAGGGATTGAAGTTTTAAATTTTAGTGCTTGAACTAATTCATATACAACCAGCCTTGGCAACAACAACTTGTCCCTCTCCTGCAATATACCAATGATAGAAACCATTATTATAAATGCTTCTAGATACTAAAAAACTAATCAATCCTTTATATGCTGCAAAAAATAAGTCTAAATTAAAGCAGCATCAGTAACCTAAATATATAATTATTTGAAATGAAATAACACCGAGTTAATCAAGTCTTTTTTAAAACTAAAAAGGGATGGAGGCATTAACAATCCTTTACAACAAGTCTCTAGAGCAATGCAAGGGAAAGCAAACTAAGTGTGAATTATTCTGCCACTTATTATGGAAGACAAGACTATTGTCATTGTTATTCATGGGCAAGAGAATTCATGGGCAAGAGATAAACCCATTAGAGTGACATCATATAGTGCCTTGGGAATGAGAGGTAATGAAGTTTAATCCAAGGAAGGAAAGTGTAGCTCAAATTCCTCACTTCAAGGCATTTTACCCTTGATGGGAATACCACTAATAAGGAAACAAACTTGTAAGTCCTTCCTCTCTTGTATATCACAATGTGTACACATCACTACCTTGTCCCTGGTCATGGATTCTTCCTCATGGAATTTGGGTTTGCCTCTATCAAGACAATTTCACCATGACTTTTGTGACAGACTTGATAAACTTACAGCATGAGCCAAGCTTATGAAAATGTAACAGGAATGTTGAGTGAGCTTAAAACTGACTCAGCAAAAATGAATTTAAGTGGGAACAAAATATTTAAAACAAAAATGAAGAATATACTGTGGTTGAATATAACTCACCCTTGAAAAGATCCGGTTGCACAGATGACACAGGTCACTCAGGTATTCATATTTCATGACAGAGTTCTGAATGGAATAGCTCACTAACTTAGAAATTGGGTCGAGGACACTCTGGAAAGCAATATGAAATGGTCAATAACTAATCATATCACAATTGTTTTTGTTGGTTATATCTTACATTTCTGTCAGGCCTATACAATCTCTTATTACAAATAGTATTCTGTTGAAGTCTACATTAATGTGAAGCTTATTGTTAAAAATATTTTTTCAATATTTTGCTATAACATGAACTGTCTTAAAACTATACAAAATTATTACATAACTTGAAGAAACAATTGAGCATACCCCAGGTAAGGTACGGTGTATGCATTTTGGATGGTAAAGAGAAAGAGGTGTAAACAGCCTGATGGAGAAGTTGACAACTAACTTTCACAAAAGAAAAAACAAAAGCATTGTATCATTGTATATGTGGAGGTAAATGCTACAAAATCCTTTGGACATGAAGAATTAAATTACGAAGCACTTGCTAAGACATTATATTAACACATCACACAAAATTAAAAAGGCTGTTAGTAGAGTTTGGGAAACTTGATTATACAGTATAAAAACTAACAAAATTAATTAAAATTACTAATATAAACTGTACAAATAAGAAAACCTTAAAACTTTGTCATATATATAATTAAAAAATATAACGTGTTACAGCAGTGATGACATAAAAGGAATTCCTTGCAAATAAATAAACATTCAACAACATGTGATAAAGTTTGCTAAGCAAAAGTAATAGACATTTCTTTAAATTACACACTCTCTTGTTTCTAGACTAACCACAAATTTCTAATGCTAATAAAATTAAACCCAAGTTATTGGCCATCGAAGAATGAAAGCAAGAAAAATAAACACAAACTTTATCATTAAACTGAATAAACCTAGTTTAAATTACAAATTAAAATTTCCAAGTTTGGAATCTGATCAAATAATTCTAAAATTGTGCATTATTCAAGTGGATTCATCTATTTTTAAAGACCAAAGAGTATAAAAAATAAAATACCACTTTAGTTTTAACATAAAAACTATGGTATAGCAACTGTAATTAAAATAAAACAATTTTGTTGAATCCTAGTACACCATAAGTGAAAAAACTCCAATAAAATTAATTCAGTATTATTCTTATTCTTTTTTTTAACCCTTTCAATGTCGGTCCTGTAATATTACAGCTTGAGAGCCAGTGTCAGTCCCGTAATACTACGCCAAAATTCTAGCTCCTTCAAATCTGGTGGAAGAAAGCTGGTAGGCCTACATATGAAAGAATGAGTCTGCATGGTCAGTGTGTGCAGTATAAAAAATATCTTGCAGTACGCAGTTCATAATGAGAAAAAAAAAAAAACTCCGACCGTGTTTTTGGTTTAAAACAGTGACTTTGCAGTGTATTTTCGTATGGTATTTATGGTTGTATACTCATTTTCTTGGTCTCACTTGATAGAATGGAAGATAAATTACAGAAATTGAGATGATTTTAATTGGTTTCACGATGAAAAGTACCTTGAAATTGAGCTCAAAGTAGTGGAAATGTTTAATTTTTGCCAATGTTCAAGAGTAAACAAATGACAAACGTTACTGTCCAATACGTATCCAACTGGCCAGTCTAATATGCAGTCATGAATGGGTTGACATTATTTATACAGTTATTATTATAATGCAGTAGTCTGCATAACAGTAAACCTTCTATTTTTTGTGAGAATAAAAATTCAAAATGGAAAGCAAGAGTAATATAAGAGGGGCCTGAAGACGTGACTAATGTACAGAGAAAATGGTATTTTAGTGCCAGGAATGTCTGCCTTGTTTATTATGGACCCTATTTTGAAACTGGCATCTTTTGAAATTTGTGTTAAATTGGCCAAATTGCCAATTTCTGACCACTTTATTGGTTAGTTGAAATCAGTTACTGGGCAGTTTCTTGTGCTCAATCGATAGAACAAATGGAGTTCTAGCGAAATAGCTATGATTTTAGTCGATTGGAACAATGGAATTGGCCAATAATAGGGCTCAAAGTGAGCAAAATTGCCGATGCATAAATATCACCGAGATCACGAACTTCGCGAGAGCGTAATTTCGTAAGTTTTTCATCAAATTTTTTTCTTTTGGTGTCATTACCATCGGGAAAAGATTCTCTATCATTTCATAAGAAAAATAATTTTTCTTTCTTTTTTTTTTTTTAAATTTTTCGACACAGAGAGTGAGTTAAGGATCAGGGGTCTGGACACTGAAAGGATTAAATCAATGGCCATCCCGCTAACGCAGGGTGACCCAAAGAAGAAACACATTTACTAACATTTACTCAATCACTATCATTCCACAAATGAGCTGACATCATAATCAGATTACTAGTGTATTCTTATTTTTACAGAGAGGTAATAAACTAGTGGGGGTCAAAGAACACCTCAAGAATGGGAAGTAATCTGGTTTGAGACAAAAAAGTGGATGGTAACTCTAATTCCTTAGATCAAGCCCTTTACCAATTTCAAGGCACCACCTCCTTGAAGGGAACCGGTCCTATAGTATTTGAGATATTTGGTAAAGTATAAACGTGGAGACGGGAGCAAGGGGCCAGTAAGCATTTCTCCTATATAAATTACTAAATGTAACAGGAACAAACAATTTGGTTTCTTCTTTTTCAGGTCACCCTGTCTCAGTGGAAAATGGCCGGTGCTAGAAAAAAAAATTGCACACACAAAATGCATACACAAGAAAATTAAATCATATAGTAACAAATACAGGCCACAAGAACAGATGTTGCCAGAATGTGAGTCGGATAAGAAGCAATAAATGACCAAATGGTATAATTTTAAAATGTGCATTTGAGATTATGCAAAAATAAAAGTGCTTGTATGAAAGCACTGTATGGAATGTAATTAAGAATTAATAACATAAACCTATATTGGAAATATTCTCCTTGTTCCTTCAGTAATTTATGAATAAGGATTACTAGCCTCTTGCTCCTGGCATTTTAGTTGTCTTTTACAATATGTATGGTTCACAAAGGAAGAATTCTCACCCACTTCCCCATAGAGATAAAAGCAAACACTATAAGAACAAGAACTATTAAGAGATTAGAAGAAAACTCAGATGAATGTGTATACACATACATGTACATATACAACTGTATGTGTAACATGAACTAGATGTAAGCAAAGGTAGCAAGAACTACCTGTCATCTTATGTGTTAATGAGACGAAAAGAAAGGATACCAACAAGCCTGCCATTGTGAAAACAATTACAGGTTCCTATTTCACACTCATTTTTAGCAGGATGGTAGCTCCTCCCTGGGTGTTTGCTGTCTACTGACCTAACATCTAATAGACTTGAATAAGCATGTCAGGTAAGAGTGGAAGCAAGTGGTTTGTCTGAATTGACATGCTGTTGGATTGTAAGCACGGTAACATTTATGAAGGGATTCAGGGAAACTAGTTAGCTGGACTTGAGTCCTGGAGATGGGAAGTACATTGCCTGTACTCTGAAGAAGTGAGGATATTGTGGTTTAGAGGGACATCTGAACTGCATTGTCAGCACACTTCTGGCAAAACAGTGATTGAGTGAAAGGTTGAAACTGAATAACAATCTATATTAAAAAGAAAAAAATGACATTATTTGTGTATTGTGTAATGACATTTAATGACATCACAAAACTGTGCACATTAAGAGACCTAATTAAAACATTAGCTTATATCTTACCTTATGCAATGGCACCCCTGGTATCTTGAGAACTGCAACTAGAAGCCTCAGCACTGGGTTCAAATCAACCATGACATTGATACATAGGAGAACTTTACGAAGAAATGTATCAAAAAGAGGGACTAAACTGGAAGAGAGGCCACCACCACCATCTTGTCCAACACACTCCATGTATGATGCAACATTACCAAGCAAATGTGCAAGATTTTCTGTTGGAAGAACCTTCTTGCTGTTCTGGTTCTAGTGAAATAAAGATATTTATGTTTAGTGTGTTCAATATTTTATTAAGTTGTAAATAATGCTTATGTGCTAATACTGTGCAACAAAACATTAATGGCATCGGCCAAAGTAATAGTATGAAGCTATGTATTACTGACCAGGACCAAAATAGTAGATATATATATATATATATGAATGAGGAAATGCTGAAAAAATTCATAACAGACATTATACTACAGCAGTAGTATGGTGTCTGCATTTAAAACAAAACTGTCAACTAGAAAAGTCCAAAGACAAGTTATGAAATAGCACCCAAAGCTAAAAATTGTAAGTCATGAAAAAAAGCCCAAAAGCACCGGATATGCTATCTCTGGCTGATAGAAGAAAAACATGAGACATGATAACTACACTAAGGATTACAAAGGAATTGACAAGGAAGACCTTCTAAGACCATCAACTGGTACAATAATTAGCCATAGCTTTTCTTTTTTAATACATCAGCCATTTCCCACCAAGGCAGGGTGACCCAAAAAGAAAGAAAAACCCAAAAAGAAAGAAAAATACTTTCATCATCATTCAACACTTTCACTTCGCTCATACATAATCACTGTCTTTGCGGAGCGGCTCAGATACGGCAGTTTAGAAGTCCCTCCAAAACGCCAATTTCCCAAACCCCTCCTTTAAAGTGCAGCATTGTACTTCCCATTTCCATGACTCAAGTCCTGCCAACTGGTTTCCCAGAATCCCTTCACAAAATATTACCCTGCTCACAATCCAACAGCTAGTCAGGTTCCAAAAAACATTCATCTCCATTCACTCCCAACATGCTCACACATGCTTGCTGGAAGTCCAAGCCCCTCACCCACAAAACCTCCTTTACCCCCTCCCTCTAACCTTTTCGAGGACAACCCCTATCCCGCCTTCCTTCCCCTACAGATTCATATGCTCTCTAAGTCATTCTACTCTCTTCTATTCTTAATAAATGACCAAATCACCTCAACAACCCCTCTACAGCCTTCTGACTAATACTTTTAGTAACTCCACACCTCCTCCTAATTTCCACACTCCAAATTCTCTGCAAAATATTTACACCACATATTGCCCTTAGACACGACATCTCCACTGCCTCCATCCGCCTCCTAGCCACAGCATTTACAACCCAAGCTTCACACTCACATAAGTGTTGGTACCACTATACTTTCGTACATTCCCTTCTTTGTCTCCACGGATAACGTTTTTTTGTCAACTCCCAAATATCTAAAATCATTCACTTCTACCATACTCGCTCTCTCCAATGCAATATCCATTTTTTCTTTATCTAAATCGTTTGATACCCTCATCACCTTACTCTTATGTATGTTCACTTTCAACTTTCTATGTTTACACACTCTCCAAAACTCATCCACTAACCTTTGCAACTTTTCTTTAGAATCCCCCATAAACACAATATCATCAGCAAATAGTAACTGTGTCACCTTCCATTTTATATTTGATTCCCCATAATTTAATCCCACCCCTCTCCCCAACACCCTAGTACAGTGGACCCCCGCATAACGATTACCTCCGAATGTGACCAATTATGTAAGTGTATTTATGTAAGTGCGTTTGTACGTGTATGTTTGGGGGTCTGAAATGGACTAATCTACTTCACAATATTTCTTTTGGGAATAAATTCGGTCAGTACTGGCACCTGAACATACTTCTGGAGTGAAAAAATATCGTTAACCGGGGGTCCACTGTATTTACTTTTTACAATCCCATCTATAAATATGTTAAAAAACTATGGTGACATCACACATCCCTGTCTAAAACCTACTTTTACTGGGAAATAATCTCCCCCTTTCCTACACACCCTAACCTGAGCCTCACTATCTTCATTAAAACTCTTTACAGCATTTAGTAACTTACTACCTATTCTGAATAATTCCAAAAATTATGAAATGTAGATATACCAAATTTTAACTTTATAATATGAAATTGGGGGAGTTCCAAGAACAGGATATTAAGATGAGTTGCAAGTCTACAACTGAAACTAAAAAAATATAAATACCGAGTCTATCATCATACTTTTATAGGTAATGCATACCTCAAGAAGCAACTGGATGGGAGCAGAAGGATTCAGCTCATTAAAATCCATCAGAGCTTGTGCCAATGTTTTGAACAGCTGAACCCGCTGGTATTCTGAAAGGAAATTTGTAACATAAAAGTACAATAATTTGGAAATATATATTAATACATGCTATATTTTTAGAATATTTTTGACCTAAATTAAAATCTGAGGTCAAACCATGGTACTCCCAATTAAGAAACAAAAGAGTGCAAAGAAATGCAACAGAAGGAAATCCAAAGTTGAAGACTTAAAGAAGACTGAAAGCACTGGATTATACAGCACCCATTCTCTTTATATTCCTTATTTCCTGACATTTCATTCTGATCTGTGTATATTGAAATCAGTGTCAAACAATAATGTATTATTTAGTTACTTATCCAATTCATGATCCTTGCATGTATACATATCAGCCTTCAAGAGATGTGCGTCTATCATTATCAGATAGCGTAACATGAAACCCTAGTGTTAATACTGTACCAGGTTTAGATCCAGAGTCCAAATAGGGAATTTCCTGATCAGGTAAACACTGTCACTGGCTACTTCAAACATCCAGTAGGAAAAGATGCTCTATGAGAAACTTAAAACTACATGTGTATAAAATTACTCTGTATCTATAGAGATTCACAAGTAAAGCCACAACTTGCTTTTCTGTATACACAAGGTTTGTACCATTAAAGGGTAAATGAAGATGATTAAGTAAATATACCTCTATTTAGGAACATATTTCATATAATTACATTACAGTGGTCCCTCGTTTTTCGTAATTAATCCGTTCCTGGAGCAGTTACTATAAACGAAATTTACGATTTACGAATCAATTTTCCCCATAAGAAATAATGTAAATACAATTAATCTGTTCCTGACACCCAGAAGTATTAAAACAAAAAAAAATTTTAACATGAAATATACATGTAGTACATAAACAATACAATAGGAAATGATGAATGAAACATTAACAGCATAACACTTACCTTTATTGGAGATTCTTCTTAGTGTATGGGAGACTGGAGGAGGAGAGAGAGTGGATTGTTTATAGTTTGGAAGGGGAATCCCCTTCCATCAACACCTTAGGCACCATTTGCTTTTCTGGGGTTGCTTCTCTTCTCTGTTTCTTAATGCCACTAGGACCACCTTGAGAGTCACTGGAGTCCTGTCTCACAAAATAACTGTGGAGAGAGCTCTGTTTCTGGCATCTCTTTAACACTTCCCTAAAATGGCCCAAGACTTTGTCAATGTACATGTTGCCAACCTGGCTTGCAACAACCTTGTTAGGGTGATGTTTCTCCATAAAGCTTTCCATCTTACCCCACATAGTAAAAATCTCTTTAATTTCTGAAGAAGGCACCTTCTTCCATCTCTCTTCCTCCTCCTCTGCAGCAAGATTCTGAGCTGCAATGTGTTGCTCTTCCTGCTGAAGCTCTTGCAGCTCCTCAGTGGTGAGCTCTTCATTGTGGTCTTCCACCAATTCTTCCACATCCTCCAAACTCACATCCAACCCCATGGAACTCCCCAGTGCCACAATTGATTTTACAACAGACATAGGCTCATTAGGGTCAGTCCCAAATCCTTCAAAATCCCTCTTGTCGACACAATCTGGCCACAATTTTCTCCAGGCAGAGTTCAAAGTCCTGGTAGTCACTCCCTCCCAAGCCATACCTATAAGGGTTATGCAGTGGAGGATGCTGAAGTGTTCTCTTCAAAATTCCCTTAGGGTCAAGTGAGTGTCTGTGGTCACAGTCAAGCACCTGTGAAACATTGCTTTTGTGTAGAGTTTTTTAAAGTTTGCAATAACCTGCTGGTCCATGGGTTGGAGGAGAGGAGTGGTATTCGGGGGCAAGAACTTTACTGTGATGAACCCAAACTCCTCGAAAATTAGGTCATCCAAGTTTGGAGGATGAGCAGGTGCATTGTCCACTACTAGCAGGCACTTGAGATCCAATTTCTTTTCCAGGAGATACTCCTTCACACTAGGGCCAAACACTTCATTGAACCACTCGACGAAAATTTCCCTCGTGACCCATGCCTTACTATTAGATTTCCAAAACACACACAATTTACTCTTCATAACATTGTTTTTCCTGAACACTCTGGGATTTTCAGAATGGTACACTAATAATGGCTTCACTTTGAAATCCCCACTAGCATTAGCACAGAACATTAGCATCAGCCTGTCTTTCATAGGCTTGTGTCCTGGCATTGCCTTTTCCTCTTGTGTAATGAAGGTCCTCTTTGGCATTTTCTTCCAAAAGAGGCCTGTTTCGTCACAACTGAACACTTGTTCAGGTTTCAGTCCTTCAGCCTCTATGTACTCCTGGAATTCATGCATATATTTTTCAGCCGCCTTGTGGTCCGAACTGGCAGCCTCACCATGCCTTACCACACTGTGTATGCCAGTACGGTTCTTAAATCTCTCAAACCAGCCTTTGCTGGCCTTAAATTCACTCACTTCACCACTATTTGCGGGCAATTTCTTTACCAAATCTTCATGCAACTGCCTAGCCTTTTCACAAATAATCGAAGTCATAAGAGTACAGTGGACCCCCGGTTAACGATATTTTTTTACTCCAGAAGTATGTTCAGGTGCCAGTACTGACCGAATTTGTTCCCATAAGAAATATTATGAAGTAGATTAGTCCATTTCAGACCCCCAAACATACACGTACAAACGCACTTACATAAATACACTTACATAACTGGTCGCATTCGGAGGTAATCGTTATGCGGGGGTCCACTGTATCTCCTGCTAATTGTTTCTCATTTATCCACACCAATAATAACTTCTCAACCTCTTCCAGTACTGGTGATCTCATTTTTGTCAGCATAGTTACTCCCTTTGCAACAACAGCATCCTTTATTTCCTTTTTCTTGGCCACTATGGAACATAAGGTTGTGTAGGGTTTCTTATACATCTTGGACAGTTCGGCCACACTTGTACCACTTTCATATTGTTCAATGATGGTTTTCTTAAATTCAATCGTATTTCTCACCTTCTTTACCACAGGCTTGGCACTACGAGCTTTCTTTGGAGCCATGGTAGGTTATTTAGTACTTGCAAGCACTAAAATAAATGGAATATTATGAAATATTTCGCTGGAGCACGTGAGGGGACCTTCGCTCACTGGTAAACAATGCCTGACTGGATGCTGCCCCGGCTCACGCTGTGGGTACGCATCCTGGACGAACTACGACTCGCGAGTCAACCTATGAAAAGCGAGTCTATGTTTATTCGAAAATACCCCTATGATTGGCGAATTTTACGATTGCCGGGAACTACGAAAAGCGGGGGACCACTGTATAATCAACATTTTAGCAAGAGGCGTGGAGTTAAAAGATAAAGAATCACACATAAAGTGGGAGTTGTCACAGTTGCTCTTTGCTGATGACACTGTGCTCTTGGGAGATTCTGAAGAGAAGTTGCAGAGATTGGTGGATGAATTTGGTAGGGTGTGCAAAAGAAGAAAATTAAAAGTGAATACAGGAAAGAGTAAGGTAATGAGGATAACAAAAAGATTAGGTGATGAAAGATTGGATATCAGATTGGAGGGAGAGAGTATGGAGGAGGTGAATGTATTCAGATATTTGGGAGTGGACGTGTCAGCAGATGGGTCTATAAAAGATGAGGTGAATCATAGAATTGATGAGGGGAAAAGGGTGAGTGGTGCACTTAGGAGTCTGTGGAGACAAAGAACTTTGTCCTTGGAGGCAAAGAGGGGAATGTATGAGAGTATAGTTTTACCAACTCTCTTATATGGGTGTGAAGCATGGGTGATGAATGTTGCAGCAAGGAGAAGGCTGGAGGCAGTAGAGATGTCATGTCTGAGGGCAATGTGTGGTGTGAATATAATGCAGAGAATTCGTAGTTTGGAAGTTAGGAGGAGGTGCGGGATTACCAAAACTGTTGTCCAGAGGGCTGAGGAAGGGTTGTTGAGGTGGTTCGGACATGTAGAGAGAATGGAGCGAAACAGAGTGACTTCAAGAGTGTATCAGTCTGTAGTGGAAGGAAGGCGGGGTAGGGTCGGCCTAGGAAAGGTTGGAGGGAGGGGGTAAAGGAGGTTTTGTGTGCGAGGGGCTTGGACTTCCAGCAGCCATGCGTGAGCGTGTTTGATAGGAGTGAATGGAGACAAATGGTTTTTAATACTTGACGTGCTGTTGGAGTGTGAGCAAAGTAACATTTATGAAGGGGTTCAGGGAAACCGGCAGGCCGGACTTGAGTCCTGGAGATGGGAAGTACAGTGCCTGCACTCTGAAGGAGGGGTGTTAATGTTGCAGTTTAAAAACTGTAGTGTAAAGCACCCTTCTGGCAAGACAGTGATGGAGTGAATGATGGTGAAAGTTTTTCTTTTTCGGGCCACCCTGCCTTGGTGGGAATCGGCCAGTGTGATAATAAAAAAAAAAAAATATTTAGCAAAACTGCTAATAATTAGTATCACAGACCTTCAATACTGGTGAAAAATATTTGGTTAAAGATTTGATTTGGTGCAAGCTGATGCAGAACACAACGAAGAAACTGCCGACCAATGCTGGTTGCCGAACCAGGAAGGTGGACAGAGCTTTCAAACTGCCAGGAGAATATCTCACTTCCAGATACCCTGTTAAAATAAAAGACAGTATTATCACACATCAAAACACTTCCAGAAACTGGGAAAACAGTCACCAACAGCTTTTCCAGATTCCAAGAGACTCATCTTCAGAGCAAGGGGAAATGTCAGGAAAAATGTACAACAATATTAGGATCAGGCAAAAATGTAGAGAGTAGTTCCTACTACAGGCTAATTGTATGAAGCAAATAACACCAATTGTGTTTAGCAAACCAGCAAAATATCACCTGACCAGCCCAATACTCTCATTGCTTCCATTGATATTCTTGATATGCTGTTTCTTCTTGCTATTATCTACATTCTCTTCTATTCCCATATTTTCATTTACACCCAGTACTTAAATTATCTACACTACTAGGAAATGTGTCAAACAACTCTGAATAGTTCATATACGTATAGTATATGCCATTTTCCTTTAAGCTCTATTATTTGAAGACAATGTATACATATTTCTATTTTACATACAACACTCTTGATTATCATTATTTGTACTGCTAATCGAGTTTCAGAATTAACACACGACAGAAAATGGTGGACTATTATAAAAAACTTGTGTATGTAGTGAAGAGCAGAAGGTAGAGTATAATATATAACCTTATTTCATAAATAAGTTTCTGGGATTAATATTTAACAGTCGTCAGTGGTCAGTCGTCACGTGAGGTCACAGACCCTGAGCTGCTTTGGGGATTAGCGTGGACGGTTACAAAGCATGGCTTGCTTCTGCAGTGTTTTAAAAACTGAGGTTGGAGAGTTGAAGGAGGAGGTCTTGCTTCTCCAGGAGGAGATTAGGAGGCTGAAGGTCCACCTCAATGGGTCTGGGAGAGAGTGTGAGGTGGCTGGAGTTGTGGGGAATGAGACTTCTAGCAGTGAGGTGCAGTCTGTCTCTCGCTGTAAGGAGGCTGTAGTTGGGGAGGTAGCAACGGCTACCAGCAGTGAGGTGCAGCCCAGCACCTGCTACAAGTGGCGAGTTGTTCACAGTAATGGGAGGCGCATCAGAATAAGGAAAGTTAAGAGTGAAGATCTGAAGGTAGGAAATCGCTTCTCTGTTCTCCAGGATGAATGTACTTCAGTGGCCAGTGAAGGTAAGGGTACTACTGCCCCTGCTAATGAAGGTAAGCGCATTCTTGTGGTTGGTGACTCTCAGGTAAGATATATTGACCGTGCTTTTTGTAATAGGAATAAGAAGATGAGAGATAGAGTGTGCTTCCCTGGAGCTGGTGTTGGGGACATTGTCAACAGGCTGGATAATATCATGTCAGGTAATGGGAACAAGCCCATTATCTGTCTCAGTGCTGGTGGAAATGATATTGGGAAGGGTAGGAGAGAAGAGCTGCTAGATAAGTACAGGTCAGCTATAGATTTCATTAAGTCTAAGGGAGGGATCCCAATCATATGTAGCATCTTGCCTAGAAGGGGAGTAGGAAATGAATGGTTGTCTAGGGCAATTGGTGTAAATTGCTGGCTAGACAGATACTGCAAGGAACTTGCAATCCCATTCATTGACAACTGGAACAACTTTTATGGCAAGGGATGGGGTACATCTCTCTGGGTCAGGGGTGGTAGCACTTGCAGACTCGATTGAGAAGGCCATTGATGAAATGCCTATGATTTTAAACTGATGGAAGATAGAGGTATGGGTGTGTGTGGGAAACAAGCAGGTTGCAACACTAGGGTTGGAAACAGTAAATGTATAAAAGGCATTCAGCATGAAGTTATAAATAAAGACAATAGAACAGGTCAGCAAACAAAGGGGGACAGCAGAGGGCAGCAAGGGACTAGCTCCCTTAAGGTTTACTATACTAATAGCAGGAGTGTTAGAAATAAGATAGATGAGCTAAGATTAATTGCAAGTGCAGGAAACATAGATATTATTGCTATAACAGAGACCTGGCTCAATCTGAAAGATAGAGAGATGCCCTCTGAATGTCACATACAAGGCTATAAATTATTCCACACTGACAGGGTCAACAGGAAAGGTGGTGGAGTAGCGATGTATGTCAGAGACAATTTAAATTGTTGTGTTAGACAAGATATTAAATTAGAAGCGTCAGCCACTGAATCTGTTTGGTTACAGCTTCTCGAGGGCCGAGAAAAACTAATTTTGGGTGTGATTTACAGGGCCCCAAATCTTGATAGGGAGTGCAGTAAACTTCTATGGGACGAAATTCGTAAGGCATCTACATACGAAAATGTTGTGCTAATGGGAGATTTCAACTATAGACAGATTGACTGGAGCAATTTGACAGGAAATTTAGAGTCAGGTGACTTTCTTGATACGATCCAGGATTGTTTTTTAAAACAGTTTGTGACAGAGCCAACTAGGGGAAATAACCTCCTTGACTTGGTTCTTGCCGGTAGGGAAACACTAATTAATAATCTTGAGGTTAATGATGAGCTTGGGGAGAGTGATCACAAATCACTCAGTTTTAATATATCATGGAATTCCCCTAATAATGGCAATCAAGTCTCCGTCCCTGACTTTCGCTTGGCTGATTTCATAGGACTGAAAAATTACTTAGGTGGGCTGAACTGGAATGACCTGACTAAGGGTCAGGTAGGTGGTGATGGTTGCCGATATGATGCTTTCCAGGGCATAGTTCTAGCTGCTCAGTCAAATTATGTTCCAAATAGGGAAATCAGATCAAACAAAAATGATCCTAAATGGATGAACAATAGATTAAAATATCTGATTGGTCAAAAGAGAGGCATATATAGGCAAATCAAAAGAGGAGAGGGGCAATTAAGAAATTGATATATTCAGTTAAAGAGAGAAATAAAAAAGGGAATTAGAAAAGCAAAAAGAGATTATGAGGTTAAAGTTGCAAAAGAATCGAAGACTAACCCAAAAGGATTCTTTCAGGTATACAGAAGTAAGATCAGGGACAAGATAGGCCCACTCAAAAGTTCCTCGGGTCAGCTCACTGACAGTGATAAGGAAATGTGTAGAATTTTAACACATACTTCCTCTCAGTTTTTACACAGGAGGATACCAGCGATATTCCAGTAATGATAAATTATGTAGAACAGGACGATAATAAACTGTGCACTATTAGGGTCACAAGTGACATGGTCCTTAGGCAAATAGATAAATTAAAACCTAACAAATCCCCAGGCCCTGATGAACTGTATGCAAGGGTTCTAAAGGAATGTAAAGAGGAGCTTAGCACACCTTTGGCTAATCTTTTCAACATATCACTACAAACTGGCATGGTGCCAGATAAGTGGAAAATGGCAAATGTGATACCTATTTTCAAAACAGGTGACAGGTCCTTAGCTTCGAACTATAGACCAATAAGCCTAACCTCCATAGTGGGAAAATTTATGGAATCAATAATTGCCGAGGCAGTTCGTAGCCATCTTGAAAAGCATAAATTAATCAACGAATCTCAGCATGGTTTTACAAAGGGCGTTCCTGCCTTACGAATTTATTAACTTTTTTCACTAAGGTATTTGAGGAGGTAGATCATGGTAATGAATATGATATTGTGTATATGGACTTCAGTAAGGCTTTTGACAGGGTCCCACATCAGAGACTATTGAGGAAAATTAAAGCACATGGAATAGGAGGAGAAATTTTTTCCTGGATAGAGGCATGGTTGACAAATAGGCAGCAGAGAGTTTGCATAAATGGGGAGAAATCGGAGTGGGGAAGCGTCACGAGCGGTGTTCCACAGGGGTCAGTGTTGGGCCCCCTGCTGTTCACAATCTACATAAACGACATAGATGAGGGCATAAAGAGCGACATCGGCAAGTTTGCCGATGACACCAAAATAGGCCGTCGAATTCATTCTGACGAGGACATTCGAGCACTCCAGGAAGATTTGAATAGACTGATGCAGTGGTCGGAGAAGTGGCAGATGCAGTTTAATATAGACAAATGCAAAGTTCTAAATGTTGGACAGGACAATAACCATGCCACATATAAACTAAATAATGTAGATCTTAATATTACGGATTGCGAAAAAGATTTAGGAGTTCTGGTTAGCAGTAATCTGAAACCAAGACAACAGTGCATAAGTGTTCGCAATAAAGCTAATAGAATCCTTGGCTTCATATCAAGAAGCATAAATAATAGGAGTCCTCAGGTTGTTCTTCAACTCTATACATCCTTGGTTAGGCCTCATTTAGATTATGCTGCACAGTTTTGGTCACCGTATTACAGAATGGATATAAATTCTCTGGAAAATGTACAAAGGAGGATGACAAAGATGATCCCATGTATCAGAAACCTTCCCTATGAGGATAGACTAAGGGCCCTGAAACTGCACTCTCTAGAAAGACGTAGAATTAGGGGGGATATGATTGAGGTGTATAAATGGAAGACAGGAATAAATAAAGGGGATGTAAATAGTGTGCTGAAAATATCTAGCCTAGACAGGACTCGCAGCAATGGTTTTAAGTTGGAAAAATTCAGATTCAGGAAGGATATAGGAAAGTACTGGTTTGGTAATAGAGTTGTGGATGAGTGGAACAAACTCCCAAGTACCGTTATAGAGGCCAGAACGTTGTGTAGCTTTAAAAATAGGTTGGATAAATACATGAGTAGATGTGGGTGGGTGTGAGTTAGACCTGATAGCTTGTGCTAACAGGTCGGTTGCCGTGTTCCTCCCTTAAGTCAATGTGACCTGACCTGACTAGGTTGGGTGCATTGGCTTAAGCCGGTAGGAGACTTGGACCTGCCTCGCATGGGCCAGTAGGCCTTCTGCAGTGTTCCTTCATTCTTATGTTCTTATGTTAACAGAAAAACTTGCATCTGTACCACTTTAATTCTCATTCAATAAAATTTCTGTAATCTTACCTGGCCACTGTTTTCAGCATCCTTGGAAGCAGAGGTGCAGCAAGCCCAGGTTGTCGGTACACAAATGTAGAGAGAATTATGATGCACAAGCCAAGGTCATCATTGGAAAACTCTTCCAAAACTTCACCACATTCCATGCATCTGTAATAAAATAACTCATTTACTCACTTTTCTATATTTTTAATACTGCATGCTGCCTGCAATAATGTAAATAAAACACTTCTTTAGAAAGTCAAAAACCAAAGCACAGTGGACCCCTGCATAACGATCAGCTCCCAACTCGACCAATTATGTAAGTGTATTTTTGTAGGTGCTTTTGTAGGTGCATTTTTGGGAGTCTGAACCGGACTAATCTAATTCACAATATTTCTTATGGGAACAAAATCGGATTGGATTCTGGATTGAAATAATATCGTTATGCGGGGGTCCACTGTACTTGTATTAATGACCAAGGATGGGCCATACTTACACTGGCCCCCATGGTGAACCCAATGCTCTTGACAGATTTAGAAAAATACATTTTCATCACATTTGTCATGTGGTAGTACAGGTGGTAGTACAGTAGTTTAGGGTTTAACTAACCTGTACAACATACAATCTTCTCCAACTCTAAGAGCTGACTGCTTGATGGAGGGTGGTGGAGGCGGCCCTTGTGAGTTACTATTTGTAACACCACCACCACATAAAGAAGCTATATTGTCACTGTCACTCCTATGGAAAAACAAATAAATGAAAAATAATCACCTCTATGTATTTTCTAAACTAGTATTAATTTACTTTTGTAATAGTTACATACAAATTACCAGTAAATTAATATTAATTAATCATTAATATCAAACACCACTGCTGTATGGCTTTAGTGACTCTATCTATAAAATCTGCTGGGTACTTCAAAGAGTAGCCAGTAGTCAGTGACTAAGTTTGTCATCATTCACTGTTTTCCCTGAATTTACCGTGCTTAACTTGACTTTATCATAAGTACACTGTACTTAATCATGGTCTCTAAAGCAAGTGATGGTGTTAAGAGGAGGCGCATGAATGTAAGTATCATTAAGAAACTTGATCTAGTAAAGAACTTCGTGAACAGAAGTTATTATGAATCACCACTATACGATCATGACAGAACAATCTCATTTTGCTTTTTTAATATGCTGGCCCTCTCCCACTGAGGCAGAGCAACCCGAAAAAGAAGCACTTTCACCATCATTCACACTATCACTGTATCTGTATCCGTAAACTGTATGTATGATATATTGTGTATACAGTAGGGTTAAATTTTGCAAATTTTTAACATTATTGGAAATTACTGGACAATTAGCATTATTGGACACTATCTCCTCCCTATTAGTCCATTAAATTGAGGTTTTGCTGTATTTTTTTATTATTTTTTATTATCACACCGGCCGATTCCCACCAAGGCAGGGTGGCCCGAAAAAGAAAAACTTTCACCATCATTCACTCCATCACTGTCTTGCCAGAAGGGTGCTTTACACTACAGTTTTTAAACTGCAACATTAACACCCCTCCTTCAGAGTGCAGGCACTGTACTTCCCATCTCCAGGACTCAAGTCCGGCCTGCCGGTTTCCCTGAATCCCTTCATAAATGTTACTTTGCTCACACTCCAACAGCACGTCAAGTATTAAAAACCATTTGTCTCCATTCACTCCTATCAAACACGCTCACGCATGCCTGCTGGAAGTCCAAGCCCCTCGCACACAAAACCTCCTTTACCCCCTCCCTCCAACCCTTCCTAGGCCGACCCCTACCCCGCCTTCCTTCCACTACAGACTGATACACTCTTGAAGTCATTCTGTTTCGCTCCATTCTCTCTACATGTCCGAACCACCTCAACAACCCTTCCTCAGCCCTCTGGACAACAGTTTTGGTAATCCCGCACCTCCTCCTAACTTCCAAACTACGAATTCTCTGCATTATATTCACACCACACATTGCCCTCAGACATGACATCTCCACTGCCTCCAGCCTTCTCCTCGCTGCAACATTCATCACCCACGCTTCACACCCATATAAGAGCGTTGGTAAAACTATACTCTCATACATTCCCCTCTTTGCCTCCAAGGACAAAGGTCTTTGTCTCCACAGACTCCTAAGTGCACCACTCACTCTTTTTCCCTCATCAATTCTATGATTCACCTCATCTTTCATAGACCCATCCGCTGACACGTCCACTCCCAAATATCTGAATACGTTCACCTCCTCCATACTCTCTCCCTCCAATCTGATATTCAATCTTTCATCACCTAATCTTTTTGTTATCCTCATAACCTTACTCTTTCCTGTATTCACCTTTAATTTTCTTCTTTTGCACACCCTACCAAATTCATCCACCAATCTCTGCAACTTCTCTTCAGAATCTCCCAAGAGCACAGTGTCATCGGCAAAGAGCAGCTGTGACAACTCCCACTTTGTGTGTGATTCTTTATCTTTTAACTCCACGCTCTTGCCAAGACCCTCGCATTTACTTCTCTTACAACCCCATCTATAAATATATTAAACAACCACGGTGACATCACACATCCTTGTCTAAGGCCTACTTTTACTGGGAAAAAATTTCCCTCTTTCCTACATACTCTAACTTGAGCCTCACTATCCTCGTAAAAACTCTTCACTGCTTTCAGTAACCTACCTCCTACACCATACACTTGCAACATCTGCCACATTGCCCCCCTATCCACCCTGTCATACGCCTTTTCCAAATCCATAAATGCCACAAAGACCTCTTTAGCCTTATCTAAAATACTGTTCACTTATATGTTTCACTGTAAACACCTGGTCCACACACCCCCTACCTTTCCTAAAGCCTCCTTGTTCATCTGCTATCCCATTCTCCGTCTTACTCTTAATTCTTTCAATTATTAACTCTACCCTACACTTTACCAGGTACACTCAACAGACTTATCCCCCTATAATTTTTGCACTCTCTTTTATCCCTTTGCCTTTATACAAAGGAACTATCTCTTCGCCAACCCCCTAGGTACCTTACCCTCTTCCATACATTTTTTAAATATTGCACCAAACCCCCCAAAAACTTATCCCCCCCGTTTTAAATTTCTATCTTTATCCCATAAACCCCGGGCTCCCTTCCCCCCTTTTCTTTTTTCCTACTCCCTCCCGAATTTCCCCCCACACCACACGGCTTTTCCTCACTTACAAGAGTTATTCCTCCTTGCCCTTACACAAAATCACAGCTTCCCTATCTTCTAACATTTAAAAATTTCCTCAAAATATTTTCCTTCCAATACCTCTACCTCTCCATTTAATAACTCTCCCTCCTATTTTTAACTGACAAATCCATTTGTTTTTAGGCTTTCTTAACTTTTAATCTCACCCAAAAAATTTTTTTTTTCAACAAAAATTTGTGTAACATCTCACCCACTCTCTCTTTTTCTCCTTTTTTTCATTGCTTCCCACCTCTTTAAATTCTCTTTTTTCTCCATATACTCTTCCCCCCTTGATCACTTTACTTTGTAAAAACTTTTATATGCTAACTTTTTCTCCCTTTTATCTCTTTTAAACATATTCACCCAACGCCCCTTTTCCCCCTGCACCCACTTTCCCGTACCACAAAATTTTGCTGAAACTTAAATACATTTTTAAACCCACCATACCCCTTTGACCCCATTGCTATGCTCCATTAGCCCATTATCCCCCAATAGCTGTTTTTTTCTTACCCCAACTGCCTCCTCTTTTAGTTTTTAAACCTTCACCTCTCTCTTCCTGATGCTTCTATTCTCCTTGTATCCCATCTACCTTTTACTCTCAGTGTAGCTACAACTAGAAAGTGATCTGATATATCTGTGGCCCTCTATAAAACATGTACATCCTGAAGTCTACTCAACAGTCTTTTATCTACCAATACATAATCCAACAAACTACTGTCATTTCGCCCTACATCATATCGTGTATACTTATTTATCCTCTTTTTCTTAAAATATGTATTACCTATAACTAAACCCCTTTCTATACAAAGTTCAATCAAGGGCCCCATTATCATTTACACCTGGCACCCCAAACTTACCTACCACACCCTCTCTAAAAGTTTCTCCTACTTTAGCATTCAAGTCCCCTACCACAATTACTCTCTCACTTGGTTCAAAGGCTCCTATACATTCACTTAAACATCTCCCAAAATCTCTCTCTCTCCTCTGCATTCCTCTCTTCTCCAGGTGCATACACGCTTATTATGACCCACTTCTCGCATCCAACCTTTACTTTAATCCACATAATTCTTGAATTTACACATTCATATTCTCTTTTCTCCTTCCATAACTGATCATTTAACATTACTGCTACCCCTTCCTTTGCTCTAACTCTCTCAGATACTCCAGATTTAATCCCATTTATTTCCCCCCACTGAAACTCTCCTACCCCCTTCAGCTTTGTTTTGCTGTACTACACTGCTAATTAAATGAGGTTATAATCATTACAGTCAATGAAAATATTAACAAGTAATAATTCCCATTTTGCATGGGGATGTGGAAAAGAATTCTTCCTCCATAAGCCATGCATGTCATAAGAGGCGACTAAAATACTGCGAGTAAGGGGCTAGTAACCTCCTTCTCCTGTATATATTACTAAATTTAAAAAGAAAACCTTTTTTCTTTTTAGGTCACCCTGACTCAGTGGAATACTGCCCATTTGTTGAAAAATAAAATATATTTCCCGCTATCTCTGAATGAATTAGAATAAATATTTAATCCAAATGAGAACTGCAGCATGAAATGAGATACAGTGGAACCCCGGTTTTCAGCCGGTGTGGAAATCATACAATTTGGATTTTGAGCACTTTTTTAGATGAAATTTTCCCCCGGGGTTCGTACATCAGCTCAGAAATCGACAGTACCAGACACATCCAGCTGGGCCACTCATACATTTGTGACTCACTCTTGGGCACATTAAATGTCTTATTTTAGGTTAATATAGACATTTTCATTAATCCATCTATATTTTCTTCAAAATTATACTATAAGAAACACGTTACACAGCATATAAACATGCAATGTTTATATGCTATCAAGGGGTAGGCTCGGGTGGAGGGTAAACATTATGTTTTCTCTGGTCCAGCTTCAGAGAAAACGTGTATGAATTTGCGTAGGCCCAGTCACCGCCCTTAATAGTACATAAGGCTTTTGTTTACAATTGTCAGCATGAATTATTCATTACTTCTCCCTTTGTTTATGATGGAATCTAAAGGTAGTTGTTAGAAACGATTAAACTCAGTGAACATGGCATGTCGATGGTAATAATATGGCTGTAGGCTACAGTGTATGTAGCCAGTAGGTATACACCTGGGATGTAGTCCCTCTGGGACTACAAATAAATACTACTCACCAACAAGAGTCTTCAATAAAGGTATGTAATGTTCATTTATCATTAAAATTAGCCATTTATATTTATTTCTCATTGTTTTCTGTATGTAAAACTATAGTTATTCTCTATAAAATGTATTTTTTGTTAATATTTTTGGGTGTCTGAAACGGATTAATTGGATTTACATTATTTCTTATGGGAAATATTACTTTGGTTTTCAGCCATTTTGGATTTAGGCCAACCATCAGGAACGGATTAATTACGAAAACTGGGGGTCTACTGTATAGGAAAACCTCGTTAAATATATACTGTAGTTACTGCTGCAACAAGATCATACGAAACAAGCGATATCTTCACAGGAAGCACTGGGAAGAATACC